CCCTGCGGGTTTCAAATTACTGTACACGAGTAGGATGGTGCAGGCGGGACGCGGGTGGCGCTGTGCCCTAAACCACAGAGCCTAGGGCTCGCCAATCTGGTCGGCAGTTCGAATCCCCGCGACAGGGTGAGCTCCCGTTCTTTGGTCCCTGCTCCTGCCAACCTAGCAGTTCGAAAGCACGTCAAAGTGCAAGTAGATAAATAGGTACCGCTCCAGCAGGAAGGTAAACAGTGTTTCTGTGCGCTGTTTCTAAGCCAGAAGCGGCTTAGTCATGCTGGCCACATGACCCGGAAGCTGTATGCAGACAAATGCTGGCTCCCTCGGCCAGTAAAGCGAGATGAGCACCGGAACCCCAGAGTTGTCCGTGACTGGACTTAACGGTCAGGGGTCCCTTTAGCTTTAGGATGGTGCAGAGTCTGGCTAGTAAGTACCGAGAGGAACAGATGAAGGAGTTGGGGATGCTCAGTCTGGAGAAGCAGCATTTAATGAAAGATTCAGTTGCTGTCTTCAACGATCTGCTTCCTGGAGCAACAGAAAGCAGACTTGCTCTCTGTTGCTCCAAAGGGCAGGAGCAGAATGGATTGGTTGAATTGGAAGGGCAGCAGATTTCAGCTAAACATCAGGAGAAACTTCCCAATGACAATAGCAGTCCAGCTGTGGAAAAGAAAGTGGTGGAAGGTGGTGGACTCTCCTTTGTAGAAGGCCTTTAACCAGAGGCCAGGTAGACATCCATAAGGGATTCTGTAGCTGCATCATACATGGTACATCCTGCACTGTACACCCCACACTAGGCAGGGGGCTGGACCCCAATGTACCTTCCAGCTCTAATGCCTAATTATATGTATAATTCCCTACTTATAACTGTATTAAAATAAATACTTACCCTGGTGAGCTGAGCATCATGCAAGGCTTGAAGCAACTTGTTGCCATTACCCACCCCAAGCACTGAAATATAAAAAGGAAGGGGTGGGAGAGTTAGGCAGGCAAAGTTAAAAAGGTCACTTTTTCTGACTGCAAATCCAGGGACAGGTAAATAGATACGTCTGGATCATGGCAAGCCTTAAGTCTGACTGGGAAGAAGGAATTTGTACATGGCTTTGGATTCCAACAGTAAGGGAAAATGAGAGAAGGGGGGGGATTATTTAGGACCCCCCCTGCAGAACTATAGGTGATGATAATTAATTAAATTTGCATACCACCCTTCACCTGTGGATCTCAGGGCAATGCACAACATAAAAATACAATATAAAAGTACAAGATATATACAAGAACAAAAAAACACATTCCCCCTACAAACACATTTTAAAAGGAGTATAATATGTTCATCAGTTCAAAGCCCTGGTTAAAGAGGAACGTTTTCCCTTGAAGGTATCAGACAAACCTCCCTGGGGAGAGCATTCCACAAAGAGGAGGGGAAGCACCGCAGAAAAGGCCCCTTCTCATGTTGCCACCCTCTGGACCTCTCATGGAGGAGGCAGATAAAGAAGGGCCTCAGAGGATTATTGCAGGATCTAGGTAGGTTCATATGGAGAGAGGTGGTCCTTGAGGTATTGTGGTCCTGAGCTATTTAAGGCTTTATAGGTCAAAACCAGCACTTTGAATTGGGCCCGGATTAGCAACTGCTTTGGGATGCAATCCAGTTTATTGGCCACATGTACCTTAGCCACAGGGTAATAATGCTCCTGGGAGCACCATATAATAGCAATGACTGGCTAAGGCATCTTTTACTTACCAAACACTCCAGAGGACATTGGATCCAGATGGTGGCCTACTCCAATTTTCAGATGTCTGAATATCGGTCCAGAAACTGTAAAGGAAAATCAAGATCGATTTTTTAAGGCATGCACAAAACTTGATCTCACCAAGCAGGGGGTAATCAGAAGGAGTTTCCAGACAACCATCAAATTCCTCTCCGGAGGAGAATGGAATTGGGCAGCCACATTTTATCCCACTCTGGAATCATCCTCAGAAATAAACAACCCTATTGGAGAAAGGAAGGAGGAAAAGGGGCTCCTAGCACAAAGCCTAGAGACAACTCAGACTGACATCTCCCTCAACCACCTCCCTACCAGTCTGCCTAGTGCCTACACTTAAAGCAAGAAGCTCATGGCGTTGCCTGAAAAAAGCTCCTGAAAGGCAGCTTTCCTCTGTGCCTGCTCTGTGGTTTGCTGCCCCCTGCAGGAGGCAGGAGAGAGCTGAGTATGGGTTGCACTGTTGCAGGAATCATGAGAAAAGCATCCACTGGCTTTGCAGTTTTTCTAACAATGTGATTTGCAATATATCACCAGGTCAAATATTTTGAAACAATTATATGATGTGGACTTTAAACTGGTTTTGGACGACAGATCAATAAATCACCTGGCCCTATTGGCTGTATATGGAGCATAAGAAGAGCCTGCTGGATCAGGCCAGTGGCCCATGTTGTCCAGCATCCTGTTCTCACAGTGGCCAATAGGATGCCCACTGTGGGAAGCCCACAAGCAAGACCTGTGCACAAGAGCATTCGCCCCCTCCTGCAGTTTCCAGCAACTGGGAATTCCAGTGCAGAGCATCTGGAGAGCATTATGTTGGCTACCCCTTGATTTATGGAGTGATTAGGAATTAAAAACAAACAAACAAAAACGCTATGCAAAAGCTAACAACAATTCAAACCGAAAACACAATAAATAGCAGAACACAATAAGAAAGTGATATCAGATGTAGCAAACCAAGAATAAGCAGAACTGAAGAGATTCCTGAAGGCTTTTTGCCCATCCCACCTTTGCCCAACATCAAAGGATTGGCAAGAGAGGTGTCACACCTGAGAATGCCCCATCAGTGAGTGTCTGTTACCTTAATCCGTTGTTTCCCAAACTTGGACTTCCTAGCTGTTGTTGGACTACACATCCCATCTTCCCCAGCTAGCAGGACTTGTGCTCAGTGATGATGGGAATTGTAGTCCAACAACAGCAGGAGACCAAAGTTTAAGAAACACTGCCACAATTCATACATTGGCAAGACTCAAAAGCAGAGTCTCTTAGGTAGATACAAATCAGGCATAGGCAAAGTGATGCCCTCCAGATGCTGGACTACAATTCACACAATCTCTACCCATTAGCCATGCTGATTGGGGTTGGAACATCCGGAGGCCACTATGTTCACTATCCCTGAAAAGGATAAGTTAGTCCTGATATCATCAGGCCCAGGATGCCAGCTTGTCCACCCTACATCCCTGCTCAAATCTCACCTAGAGGGTGGTCAGCCATAGCTGGGAGCTGCGTAACGGTCATAGTCAATTCCTTCCCATCCTTCCCTTCCACCATGCTAGGCAGGAAACGTACAAGCCGTCGTGGTGCTGGTCGCTTGAATGAGTTCAAGTCTAAAGAAAAATAATAATGAAGAAAACTGGTTATTTATTTTTTTAAGGTATAGCTAACTAATTAATAGGGGACGCGGGCGGTGCTGTGGGTTAAACCACAGAGACTAGGACTTGCCGATCAGAAGATTGGCAGTTCGAATCCCCGCAACGGGGTGAGCTCCCATTGCTCGGTCCCTGCTCCTGCCAACCTAGCAGTTCGAAAGCACGTCAAAGTGCAAGTAGATAAATAGGTACCGCTCCAGCAGGAAGGTAAATAGTGTTTCTGTGCGCTGCTCTGGTTCGCTAGATTTAAATCAAACTGATTTTAATCGTGATTTTAATCAAATTGATTTTAATCGTGATTTTAATCAAATTGATTTTAATAATGATTTAAATCAAATTGATCTTAATTGTGATTTAAATCATAAGTCAGTAAGTCTTGATTTACCGTATTTTTCGCCCCATAAGACGCACCTGACCATAAGACGTGCCTTTTAGAAGGGGAATGCAAGAAAAAAATTTTTTTAAGTGCTGAGCGCTGAGCAGAGCCTGTGTGCAGCGCTTGGGGGCGTTTCCCCAGGAGGGAGAAGCCCCCAAGCGCCGCACACACGCTCCACTTGGCTTGTGAAAGGGAGTGCGGCTCTTGGGGGCTTTTCTGGGAGGTGGGGGAAGGGACTGAGGGGCTGCCCTCTGTCCCTTCCCCCACCTCCAGCAAAAGCCCGCAAGAGCCGCGCGGTCTTTAAAGGGTGCGCGGCTCTTGGGGGCTTTTCCCCGAGGAGGGAGAAGGGACTGACAACCAGAGGAAGGTTTAATTTTTGGAATAATAAATTTTCAGAGTAGTTTTTACAGTTACATCAAAAATTACTGATTTGGTTATACTATTAGAAATACATAGACAGATAATTATGAAATTCTTGTTTAGATTTGGACAACTTTTCTGCTGTACTTTATTGGAAGGAGAAGAATAATCATTTCCTTAATAACAATTTAAACAACTTATTTAACTAAAACAATAACATTATACTCTATGTATCCACGCTTGTTAACTGATGCGGTTAGACGATTAAAAAACAACAACTTAGACTGAGTTTTAGCACACATGAAAAACTTAAACCCTTATTTCCAGATGAATAGGCTCTGGACTATTATGTAACTTAAACAGAAAACTAACTTTAGAAATATTTCCCCCCAAAAGCATATTATTTTAAAAATTCGATTTATATAATCCTGGTTATTTAACCCTGGTTAAGAGCACATTTATTACGGAACACTCTGTATTGCATGGTAAGGAGCGGGACTCGGGAGACAGCATGAAGCAAGGAAACGGGGCCGAACCTCTTCCAAGGCTCACCTCTCAGCAAGTGGGTCTCCACGGAGTTCCGCACGGCCATCCACGCCACTCCGGGGGGCTTGTAGACGGCGAAGACCCCATGCAAACCAACCCTCGCCAACCGCATTGTAGCGTCTCCCGCTGCCGCCGGCGCTGCTTACGGGCGTTGCACTCTCAGTGGTCCCCCAAGGTGGGCGCCGCCATCTTGTGTCCGTCACGAAAAGCAGCTCGGCCCGGAAACAAGCGCTGCCGCCAAGGCCGGAAAGTGGAATGCGCAGAGGGCAAGAGGTGTAACCTCCAACCACGTCCCCCGGAGCCGCCATCTTGGGGGCATCATGAAACAAGCGCCGCCGACGCTAAGCGGAAAGAAGACACGTAGAACGCCTCCGCACCGTGTTTCGCAAAGGCGCCTCGCGAAACGCAGCCGTCGCTCTCGGAAACGAGCGCCGCTGCGAAACTAGGGAGGGGAAACGCAGAAACCTCCGGCCGTCGCTCACGGTGGGCGCCGCTCTCGTGAGTCCGTCACAAAATGCAGCCCTCCCGGAAACAAGAGCTGCTGCGAAGCTAGGAAAGGCGCAGAAAAAAGGAGAGTTTTGGAGGAATCAAGGGGCGAGTGGGGAGAGGAAGCGCAGCGCAAAAGACCAGGGAGTAAGGCGGGAAAGGGGTGGGTGGTTGCGAGGAGCAGTATTCGGGTAGCTCCTGCCGGCCGCAGAAGGTAATGCGTGTTTCGTTTTGGGATTCTTGCCTTAGTTTTTTGTTCAAAAAGGGAATAAAGCAAAACTAGCTATGGCTCTGGCGCTGCTGCTGCTACCCAGGAGGAGCCGAAGTTTGCTGCCCCTTGCAGGGGACCTGAGAGGAGCCGTTGATCTCTGCATGATCAGAGGCAAGTGCACTTGCAGTTTATCCCTCTATTATTATTATTTATTAGATTTCTATACCGCCCTTCACCCGAAGATCACAGGGCGGTTTACAGTGTAAAAAGAAAAATGCACACCACAACAATAAAGAATAGCAATAACTCCTTCTACAAACAGTTTTTAAAAGACCATAGATTGTTTAATTGGCCAAATATATGGTTATAGCACAATATTTTCACCTCGCTCCCAAACCTATGTAACAAAGGCACCAGGTGAATCTGTGGGGAGAGCATTCCACAAACGAAAAGGTTCATTCTCATATTGCCATTCTCCCGATCTCTTGTGGAGAAGAGTACATGAAGAAGGGCTTCACGTAATGATTAGAGTTTATACAGTGGTAACTCTGGTTACGTACTTAATTATGTTCCAGAGGTCCGTTCTTAACCTGAAACTGTTCTTAACCTGAAGCACCACTCTAATGGGGCCTCCTGCTGCCGCCACGCTGCCGGAGCACAATTTCTGTTCTCATTCTGAAGCAAAGTTCTTAACCTGAGGTACTATTTCTGGGTTAGCGGAGTCTGTAACCTGAAGCGTATGTAACCCAAGGTACCACTGTATGTGGAAAGACAGTCCTTGAGGTATTGTAGTCCTGAGTCTCTTCCCTTTCCCACTCACCCCCAGCTCATTTCATCCATAGCTGTCCCTGTTGTCTGGTCCCTGCTAAGATTACATCCTGCTATGGAGTTAGGGAAGGTCAAGGGAGGGATGGAACGACTCCCCAAGAGGAAAAGGCTGCAGCATTTGGGGCTTTTCAGTTCTGAGAAAAGGCGAGTGAGAGGTGATATGACAGAAGTTTATGAGACTGCTTTAGGTGTAGGGAAAGTGGAAAGAGGAAAACTTCTCCCTCTCGTAACTCCAGAACGAAGCTAAATGGAAGATTCAGGACCGGTAAAAGGAAAGCCGCCTTTACATGGCACATAGTTGAACCGTGGAATTTGCTCTCACAGGAGGTGGCAATGGCTAACTTTGATGGCTTTAAGAGGACTGAATTAATTCATGGAGGAGGATAAGGCTAAAGATGGCTACCAGCCATCATGGCTATGCTCTAGTTATGCAGTTAGAGGCAGGAATGCTTCTGAATACCAGTGGTTGGAAATCACAGGAGGGGAGAGAGCTCTTGTGTTTGAGTCCTAATAGTGGGTTTCTCACTGAGGTATCTGGCTGGCCTCTATGAGGACAGGATGTTGGACTACATGGGCCATTGGCCTGATCCAGCAGGCTCTTCTTATGTGGGTGTTGAAGCTGTTGTTGTTTCCTTTTAGATATATATTCAGGATGATGTTTTGAGGTTGATTGGTTGATTGCACTAACTTTTGTGCCACTTTTCCATAATGAACTGCGCCCAAAGAGTCTTGCAGCAGATATTCTAAACATCTGTATACCAATATACCAAAATACAGAGCACATCAGTAAAATTCAAAAAAAATGACAGAAATCCCAACAATTTGGCAAACACAGAATAAATTCAATATTACTATGTTACTGTTTGTCCAGTGGTCCAGCCACTCCTTGCTAGTAGCCTCTCTGTCTAGGTTAACTCCATCCCTAGAGAGCAGAGCCTATTTTCTCTCTCTCCCAATGTGTTGAGATAAGATGTCTGCTATTTTCTCTTTCATCTCAGTGTATAAGTAGCTCCTGCATGAATAAAGTCTTTTAACTCCAGAAACTCCAATTCAGTCTAATTCACCCAAACTGCAATCTGTGCAGTTTCTCTCTTCTAACAATCTGTGCTTGCTTTTATCCTCATTTTCTGGTGATACTTGATGGGTCACACTAGCTTCTTGCCACTAGCATCAGTACAGTAAATAGGACAAAGGAAGGTCAGCTGTTCACCTTGCTCATCCCTGTCCTTTGATTGGGCTGTTTTTCCTCAGGTATGGGACGTCTCCTCTGCCATACTGACCAGCCATCAGCCACTGACAGCACCACAGGAGAAGAAAAATATTACCCATTGTATCCAGGACACATCCCCACCAGTCCTCTGCAGAAAGGCCTGCTGGCAGCTGGCTCAGCGTTCATGGCTCTCTACAATCCCTACCGGCATGGTGAGCTGGGGCATGCCATTTTGTGCAAGGTGTGCATTTAGTTTTGCTAGCAAGCGAAGTACACGTATCTTGTGTACTTTCCGGGGGAATCAGGAAGTGCTGTCCTCAATTGACGGGTATACATGGATGGAGAGGGGCCCCCGATAACAAAACAATGTTGAGTGCTCCTGTTCTGGATGCAAGACAGTCATACTTTCCCCCAGGACTCTCCATTCCAGTCCCCCTCAATAGCCCCAGTTTTCTGGGTTTCCCCTCACTCCCTCTGGCAGCCCACATTCCATGCTAACTGAGCATTCAGTCCTCGCTGAGCGGTTTTTGTGTTGTCGTGAGGTTTTTGTACTTCTACAGAACCTTAGAATCCCACCTGCTGAGCTGACAGTATTCCAGATGTGGTCACACCATAGATTTCTTTGAGGGCAGTATGTTATTGACAGTTGGACCTAATGGGAGTTACAGTCTAAAACATCTGGAGAGAACTTGGCTGGCAAAGACTGCTCTGCCAGGTTCTCAGTGAAATTCCTGCCCTTAGCAGTCCCTGTGGAATAACAGCCATGACTCCATCGCATACACAGATTTGCCACTATTTCTCTCCTGTTGGCTGGCCAGGAACGGCTTCATGGGTTCCATTATTGCACACATGCTCACTGAACCTCATTTTAAAAGTGGTGGCTCTTTGAAGGCTGTTGTGTCGATGAATGTCATTGCTATACCAAATTCATTCATTTGCTCTGCCAGTTTTCATTCCGGTGAGTTTTGTGACTTGTCCTGAGCTCTGTTCCTGCTAACTTACTGTCTTCCTCTCTTGTTTGGTTCCATTTACAGATATGGTGGCCGTCCTCGGGGAGACAACAGGGTACCTCGCTCTGAGAAACCTCAGGGAGAAGATGAGGAATGACCCAGAGGGATATCGGATCCTACAGTATGTGAATGTGTGTTTGTTTCGGTTTGGTGTTAGTCTGTAGCTGGGAAGAGATTCTGTTGCAGCCGGGTTCGTGGACATGCAGCTCTCCAGTTCTTGTGGAACTGCAATTCCCATCAGCTCCAGCCAGCATGACTAATGGTTAGGGATGATGGGAATTGGACTCCAGCAAATATTTGGAGGGCCACAGGCTCTCCACCCCTAAGTTACAGGGATTAGTACTCTTTGGGGACATCTATTCATATTTGAGTTCACATATGAGGATTAGTAACTCGCCTTCAGCATACATTAAGCACACATTTATAACTGGGGATTTTAAGTCTACAATCCTAAAATACACTCCTCATTTGTAGTGCTTATGCTTTTAAAAAGAGATAGCCTAGTGAGCACTGTGCTCAGTTGCTGCAAAATTGCTATAAAACTGTTGGGGGGGGGAAGGAATTTATTTATTTATTTTCATAGAATTTATATGCCATTTGAATGTAAAAAAAACCAACTTCGAAGCTTTTTACAAAAGATAAAACAATAAAATCAAGAAAAAAATCACAACCATGCAAAAGTTAAAATACTAAAACAGATTAAAATTACCTCGACTTTATAAGCCTCCAGATAGGTTAGCAGGCGCCAAAAAGAGTTTAGTGAAGATACCTGCTTGATATCAATAGGCAGGGAGTTCCAAAGTGTAGGGGCTACCACACTAAATGATCAAGCGTCTTTCTAATATCTACTGATTGGTGATAGATTGATAAATGGATGGATAAACAGAGCATTTGAATTCTTACAAATGTGGAGTAGGTATTATGTGGCACCTGTAGTAGTGCCAGTTCTGCCAATCTAAGAGTTAAGTGGGCACATGTGGGGTAAGGAGAACTCATAGGTAAACTGGTGCCAGTTGTTAAGGGCTTTATATACTAACAGTAACTGCACACTGGCTTGCGAGATCTAGGTTAATAAAAGTATTGCCATGAAATGGATTTTGGATTTTTATTTTGTTTTAATGGCTACATTTACTGCATTTCACTCTGCAAACCTGTGCATGCACCTAACTTGGGAGTTAGTTCCATGGGGCTTTTTGTACTTGTGCAATGGATCCAGCCATTTCACTTCATTCACTTTCAGTTTGTATACCCCCTTTCTATATTGCTATGCAAAAGGTGGTTTACAGCGATAAAATATACAGCAAAGAACACACATCTTATAATAACCTGATCCAATACAGAGACTAACAATAAAACATAACTTTAAATGCTAAGCCCTGAAGGGTTGCACTCTCAGCTCTTGCCATCGATGTTGGTGGGATGTAGATGCAGTTGGATTGTGCTCAAGCTCAGTATTTCTGAACTACTTGAAGCTGGGATGGGAGATCCTGTGGTCCTTCAGACACCAGTGGACTGCAACTCCCATCATCCCTGACCATTTCTCATGCTGGCTGGGGTGCTTGGGAAGAGGGATTCCAGCAACATCTGGCGGGCTACAAATTCCTAACAGAAAGGTATGGCAATTTGCCCTCATTACATGCCTCAGCGCCTTAATTGAACTATAGGGCTGTAGAAAGGTCAGCTAACCCTCTGGATTTCACAGGCTAAGCCAGCCACTGTCCAATTTGCCTTCCTTTGCAGAGAACGGCCTCGGATACGCCTCTCCACATTAGATATCCGTGGACTTCGGGGGCTTCCAGACGGGACCTTTGGCCGAGAGTATGTCCGGTTTTTGGACGATAATGTGAGTATAGTAGTGCTTAAGACTGGGTTTTCAGTAGAGCAGGGGTGGGATCCTTTTTGCCTCCATGGTCCTTCTCTGGATCAGCCTCGCAGGCCAGATTTGATGTCAAGTGGTTTAGTGTTCTTTCTGTTTTCAGAAAAGTAATCTTTATTGTTTTATATATGTGTGTGTGTGTTTATGTGTAAATATAATAATTATAATATAATATAATAATATATCATCATCTGAGAACAGGGGTTGGCAAGGTTTACCTCACATGGGCTGGTTCACTCCAGCGGAGATCCCTCCGTGGGCTGGATTGCGAGCACGTGCGCCCGCCATTTCTGGTGTCTGCGCAGACGCAATTTCCGGCACCTGCATCTGCGCAGACACAATTTCCAGCATCTGTGCATGTGCTATTTCTGGCGCCACAAAAACGAGTCCCTGCACCACACTGGTTTAGCGCAGTTCGTGGGGACTCACCAAGCGGGCGGCTCGGTTTGGGGGCGGCTCGTGGGCCGGTTAAATGACCCCCGTGGGCCCCTTGTGGCCCATGGGCCTTAGGTTGCCAACCCCTGTCCTAGAATAATACGAATTTGTCAGCATACATGTGTACACATATCTAGAAATACCTCCAAAGGCAGAATGTCAGAGATCATATATTAAAATATCAGTGGTTAATCACTAATAATCCAACAGAGCTCTGGCTGGCAGCATCTTTCCAGGGTCTTTCGCCATCGCTCTGCTGCCACCTGCTCCTTGTTAACCAGGGAGGCCAAGGGTCAAACCTGGGACCTTCTGCATGCAAAGTTCTGCCACTGAGCTGCAACCTCTCCCTCATAGTGGATGCACATGAGCCTACTTTTTCTTTTTTCCTGGTTGGCAGAGAATCTCTCCAGACACCAGGATGCCTCCTAAGTTTGTAGATGATGAAGAATTGGCCTATGTGGTCCAGCGGTATAGAGAGGTCCATGATCTGATGCACACCCTTCTTGGCATGCCCACCAATATGCTCGGTGAGACAAGGCTTCTTATGGCTGAGTTGAATCTGGTCGCCCTGTTTACTACATCACTTTTATTTTCCTTTATTTTACAAATTTGGAAACTGTTTCACAACCTAGGGTCATCAAAACAGTGCACAAAAAGATGAAAATAAGATAAATGTTCTAAAAGCTGTTAAACTCATTCCTGCAAAGCTTTTCAACAATCTTACCTACATTTGGCTTCATTGGGTGTACATGACTTGTGTTATGGGTGGGGGGGAATTCTGCCTCCCCACTTTCTCCATGCCTAATGCATAGTTTTGTCATTTCACTTTTACCTGCCTTTTCTCTAAACTGAAAAGCCCCAAACACTGCAAGCTTTCTTCATAGGGGAGCCGCTCCATCCCCGTGATTGTTTTGGTTGTCCTTTTCTGAACCTCTTCCAATTCCACAGGGTTCTTTTTTGAGGTGAGGTGATCAGAACCGGACACCGTATCTCAAATGCAGCTGCACCATAGATTTGTATAAGCGCATTACGATAGCAGCAGTTTTATTTTCAATTCCTTTCCTAATGATCCCTATCGTGGAAAATGCCTTTTTCACAGCTGCAGCACACTGAGTCAGTGCCTTCATCAAATTACCTGCTACTACCTCAATATCTTGTTCCTAGTCAGTAACTGCCTGTTCATACCCTCATCAGTGTACAGTCAAACCTCAGTTGTCGAACGTAACCCGTTCCGGAAGACCGTTCACCTTCTGAAACATTCGGCAACCGAGGTGCGGCTTCCGATTGGTTGCAAGAGCTTCTTGCACTCAAGCGGAAGCTGCATCGGACGTTCGAATTCCGAGGAACGTTCAAAGACCGGAGCATTTACTTCCAGGTTTTTGGCATTCAGGAACCGAAATGTTCGAAAACGGAACCGTTCGAGAACTAGTTGAGAAATTAAGAATTTTTTTGTCCCAATATGGGTCAGTTATCCACATGGATCTAAGCATTTTCTTACTTGGAGCTGTGTGTATGTAAGTTGCTTGGCATTGCATGTAGCACATTCATTGTACTCTACGGAGTTGGTGAAGTAGAATCTGGGGATCAGCATCTGTGGAGAAAGTGACAGAGAGCAATAGAGAGGAGAGAGGAGCCCCTTTGCTATTCATGCTAATAAGCAAGGTGTTAAATCACTTCCTCCACTTTCACAAATGGCCTCGTGGTCAGATGTAATTCCTAAGCAGTTCTGGTCACTGGTTTGGTCACAACATAACCTCTGCCTGCTTTAGTTTATTTTATACTATGTGTTCTTATCAGTTGTAAGAGTTTACAATATTGGGTGTCATATCTGCAAGAAGAAGCATTAGTTATTAATTATTAAATTTTATTTATACCCCGCCCTCCCCAGCCAAGACGGGGCTCAGAGCAGCTAACACCGGTATAAAAACAATTGATTAAAATACAACAAAAACAAGATAAAAATACAACAATAAAATGCAGCCTCATTTCAGTAGGAACTCAAATAAAAAACTTTTTTGGGGATGAAAACGTCAAGTCTTCACCAAGGCCAACTATCCAGACTGGTCCTAAATGGGCCAGAAAAAAGCCAGGGAAGTCCCCAAATAGGAGTTCCATCACAGAAGGAGAAAGGGAAAAGGAAAGAGGGGGAAGGAATCAAATTGGCTCCAAGCCAAAGGCCAGGTGGAACAACTCTGTCTTACAGGCCCTGCGGAAAGAAATCAGATCCTGCAGGGCCCTGGTCTCATGAGGCAGAGTGTTCCACCAGGCCGGAGCCAGAGTTGAAAAAGGCCCTGGCTCTGGTTGAGGCTGATTACTGCTTGTATCTTGGCAATAAATCAGACAGTAACAGCACAAATCTACGTGCTCAGAAATGACTCCCGTGGGGCTCGTTCCTAGGTTAAGTGGCTCTAGGATTGCTGCCTAAATGGTACACATGTGAAGCAATATCCGCCACAACCTTCTGGCACCATTTAAGAAGCACATAGCAGGCGCAGGTCGTGCATTAATGTGTTCACAGGTTGGGTGGCAGTTGCCTTTCACCTACTTTTAGGATCCAACCATGTCATGAGTCATTGGGGTGGTTGAGCTAGAGAGAGAGGAGAACTGGAGCAGGGCTAGGAAATGTGGGCTATGGAGGATGGGGGCATTGTGCAATCAACCCTGAGCCACTAAACACAAAATGTTCTGGATTTATAGGAGGCAGGCCATGAGTCATTCGGAGATTTGCCCTTTTATCTTCTTTACTGTATCAGTAGAAGCCTGACTGAAATTGCAGAAGGGCTTTGAACTCCTTCAAGGCCCCGACGGCACCCTAGTACAGTAGTGCCCCACAAGACGAACGCCTTGCAAGACAAAAAACTCGCTAGACGAAAGGTTTTTTCGTCCGCGATTTGCCTCGCAAGACGAATTCCCCTATGGGCTTGCTTCGCAAAACGAAGCTTGCCCCGGGGACAGCGGGTCTTCTCTTTTGAAGCAAGGGGCTGCGGGGAGATAGCGATCTCCCTGCAGCCCCTTGCTGCAAAAGACGTCCGGGGGAAGCGGGGAAGCGAAGCGCTTCGCTTCCCCGCTTCCCCCGGACCTCTTCTGAAGCAAGGGGCTGGGGGAGATAGCGATCTCCCTGCAGCCCCTTGCTGCAAAAGACGTCGGGGGAAGCGGGGAAGCGAAGCGCTTCGCTTCCCCGCTTCCCCCGGACCTCTTCTGAAGCAAGGGGATGGGGGGAGATAGCGATCTCCCTGCAGCCCCTTGCTGCAAAAGACGTCGGGGGAAGCGGGGAAGCGAAGCGCTTCGCTTCCCGCTTCCCCCGGACCTCTTCTGAAGCAAGGGGCTGGGGGGAGATAGTGATCTCCCTGCAGCCCCTTGCTGCAAAAGACGTCGGGGGAAGCGGGGAAGCGAAGCGCTTTGCTTCCCCGCTTCCCCCGGACCTCTTCTGAAGCAAGGGGATGGGGGGAGATAGCGATCTCCCTGCAGCCCCTTGCTGCAAAAGACGTCGGAAGCTTCCCCGCTTCCCCGCTTCCCCCTGACGTCTTTTGCAGCTGTTCCGAAGTGGGGCGGGGGGGCGGGGTCACCTGCCCCAGCCGCCCCACTTCGGAAAGCTGTTCCGAAGCGGGGAGGGGGGGCGGGGACATCTGCCCCAGCCGCCCCACTTCGGAAAGCTGTTCCAGGAACAGCTCCATAGGAACCTCCATAGGCGCCCGTCACCTCTCCAGCCAGGAGAGCGCGCGCGGGGCTAAACCAGCCCCCCGCGACCCTCTCCCAGCTGGAGTTGTGACGCGCGCATATGGCAGGAACCTCCATAGGCGCCCGTCACCTCTCCAGCCGGGAGAGCGCGTGCGGGGCTAAAGAAACCATAGCCCCGCGACCCTCTCCCAGCTGGAGAAGTGACGCGTGACTATGGCAGCAGCCTCTGAAGGATGCACCGAAGCCTGGCGTGGGGGGGGGGGCGGAGAGACCTTCTCCCCGCGCCAGCCTTCGGATGGCTGTCCTGAAGACTTGGGGGGGAGAAGGGTTTTCCTTCCCACCGCCAACATTCAGAATGCTGTTCTGAATGTTGGCGGTGGGGAGGAAAAACCCTCCTCCCACGCAAGCCCCGGGAACAGAGGGAAAGCGCTGCGCGCCTTCCCCTCTGTTCCCGTACCTGTGCTGAAGGCTTGCGGTGGGGAGAAAAGCCCTTCTCCGCACCGCCAGCCTGGCAAGAGGTTTCCCTAGGAACGCATTAATTGATTTTCAATGCATTCCTATGGGAAACTGTGCTTCGCAAGACGAAAAATTCGCTAGACGACAAAAATTGCGGAACGAATTAATTTCGTCTTGCGGGGCACCACTGTAGTTATTTTAAAATCTCTGGATGCTGGGACACCTGATTCTCCCACGCACTTTTGCTTCGCTTTTTCTGCCACGTTGACTACCACTGCCCCTTACCACCCCAGATGAGTTCAGCAGCATGGGGAGGGGGCGCGCGAATCTGCAACCATAATGCCAATTATTTTAGTTAAAGGCTTCTCTTTACTTCCATACTTTCAAAACTTCCAGGCCTTAAGCCTTAAGCAAGGCCTTGAAGATGTGACAACAGTCTTCTGTAAGTTTTAGAAACAGCAAAGGGTATCCTACAGCAGACAGGACAGCAGCCTGTGTTTTAGAGCATCTGTTTGGGGCTGTCCAAATTTTTGGGGCCTAAGAGCTTACCTGGAAACATAAGGAACTATCTTGGGCACCACTAAATACCCATTTCACAGACAAAAAAACTGGGGATACTCAGAATTGCTTCCCTGAAACAGGCAAATGTTTCCAAATGTTTTCTCCAAAAGGGTGAGCGGGGAGCAGGCAACATGTCTCTAAAGAACAGGCCACTACCACCAATTCCCCCCCCCCCACAAGCCCAAAAACAGATTTTTTAAAAATGGCCCGGCCTTGGTGGGCATCAAGGCACTGTTTGGGGGCACTGCCAGCCAGAGTAGATAGCAATAAGCTAGATGGGTCACGGGTCAGATTCTCATGTTGCCTCCCCTAAGGCAGCTTCCCACATTCCTAAAATGTAATTTTAAAAACGTCGTTGTTTTTGCAAAATTCATGAAACCTGCTGCAAACTAATATCTGACCCTTATGGATGCAAATAAATATCCGAACAGGTCATTGCTGTTTCTGAAATTTCGAAGCCTTAGAATTCAGGAAGACATTTCAGTGGTCTAAAGTTGCCTGGGTGTTTCCGTTCACCTATCAGCCCAATGAAATGTAGGCCACGCCATTGGCTTAAAAGCTTTATAGTTAGGTTGTGACAAAGATTTTCTTTTCTTTTATCTCCTGGTGCTTTTTCTCAGGGGAAGTCGTGGTAAAGTGGTTTGAGGCAGTCCAGACTGGCCTGCCCATGTGCATTCTGGGAGCAGCATTTGGCCCACTCCGCCTTAACGCCTGGTATGTTGAGAAGCCTTTAAATGCAACTTCCATGCAAACGTTTTGTCCATTGTTAGTTTGCTAAACAGACACAGTGGTACCTTGGTTTACAACCATAATCCGTTCTGGAGTTCCGTTTGCAAACCAAACAGGTTGTAACCCAAGGCGCGCTTCTGCCAATGGGGCCTCCCAAAAAGTTTTGTTCATAATCCAAAAAAAATGGGTTGTAATCCAAAAAAAGGTTGCAAACCAGGACAAGCACTTCTGAGTTTGACGTGTTTGTCATCCAAAACATATGCAAACCAAGACGTATGCAAACCAAGGTACCACTGTAGTGTGGCTGTCAGGCCAGAAAGCCTTGGACCGGCCTTCAAACATTCGCCTCAGATCAATCAACTCCTTTATGTTTGGAGATTCAGAAAAGAGCAGTGAAAATTACAGGGGGACTTCCTAGTTTGGGAAAAAGTCAACTAAAGAAGGAACCTGAGTCTACTTTGAAATGACACAGGAAGTTCTACCTAAGCAATTTTTAATGTAAGAAGAGCCCTACTGGGCCTATCTTATCCGGCGTCCCATATCCCACAGTGGCCAACCAGGAGCTCTAATGGGAAGCCCCCTAGGGACGTGACGCATTGTTCTCTCCCACTGTTGTTCCCCAACAGGAGGTATTCAGAGGCATCGTTCCTCAGATCCTCAGTTCACCTGTCACAGCAAGCCAAAGAGGTTCTTCTGCAGATGCCACCGTATCAGGATGTCTGTCCTGTACAATATAGTACAGTGGACACTCAGGTTGCGATCGTGAGCCGTGCAGGATGCACGTTCACAACCCGTGTCTGCGCATGCACGGGTTGCGATTCGGCGCTTCTGCACTTGCGCAAAGCAAGATTTAGCTCTTCTGCGCATGCACGACTGCTGAAACCCGGAAGTAACCCGTTCTGGTACTTCTGGGTTTCGGCAACCCAAAAAAGCCCTACCTGAAGTGGCTGTAACCTGAGGTATGACTGTAATCAGGTCTTTAGCGTGGCAGCACCTAACCTTCAGAGCACCCTCCCCACCTGGTTATTGGGCAGGTGTCACCTGGTGCCTATCAAGGACCTTACTTTCTCAACAGAGCCTTTCTGTGGGGAGACCTTTGCCCCAGGCTGTTTCTGAATTGAATCTCTCTCCCCGCCACCCCATGGAATTGTTTGTAGTTGGCTTTTTATCTTGGGTACAGTAGATTCCGGTGTATAAGACGACTTTTTAACCCCGGAAAATCCTCTAAAAAGTCGGGGTTCATCTTATACGCCGGGTATGGGTTCGCTGGGCAGTAGCAGTGGGTGGCAGGCTCCGTTCTGCACCGGGAGGAAGCCGCCCAGCGAAGCCGGCTTAGCATCACTGGGCAGCTTTGCCGGGCAGCTTCCTCCCGGCGCGGAGCCCGCTGCCCACTGCCACTGCCACTGCCCAGTGAAGCTGTCACGTATTAGGCGACTGGGTGTATAAGTCGACCCCCCAGATTGGCAGCTGCCAATTTGGGGGGTCGTCTTATACGCCCAGTCGCCTAATATGCCGGAATCTATGGTAATTTCTTTTCTGCTTCAAGATATTTTGTGGGAAACGACTCAGGAATGGAATCAAAACAAACCAATAAATAACTCTTGGATTTCCGTTTCCGTCCATCCAGGAAGCTGCGTGTTCTGACCACTGAGCTCATCCCATGGGCTGTTCGGAGTGGAAGCAGCGTCAACTGCATCCTGAATTTCTATTACGAGGAGCGCTGGGAACAAACCATAGACTCTCTTCGTCACGAAATCGGTATCCTGCCACCTCCGGCAATTCCGGTGTAAATTTCTGCTGGGGAAAATGGGGGGAAAGTCACTGGCAGGCATTGAAGAAGCAGTAGATGAAGTAGATTTAGGGTCTCAGAAGTTAAACCACAGCTTGCCTTGGATCAGCTGAGCAGCCACGGTTTGGCCAAGCAAAAAGTTTATTAACTCAGTTGGCAGCATGTTCTGCATTTTCCCTGCCACTCCAAGCAGGTGATTTAAAATGGTAAGACAGTGTTTTAAAGCACAAAGCCTCTTCAGTCATTTAAACAGCAGTGAAAACACTGGGAGGAAGGAAATTTGAAACCCTGAAAACTCCGGCAGAGAAGAGGCCTGAAACGCTAAATGGTGGATTGTACATAAATGCACAGCAGCCCAGCAAGGTGGATTCTTGGCATATTCCCGTTTGATAGACCAGGGCTGGGATATTTGCTGCCTGCAGTCCTGATTAGGCCCATCTTCCTGACACCTGAGGTCAGATGGTGCAGTAAGGGTGGGACATACTAAGAGCACGTTTCAGCTCATCTGTAGTGCCTGCAAAGCCCCTTTCCCAGTGCAGTGCCGGATAGTGCTTTGAGAGGGGCCTCTAAAGACTGGTTGTTTTATCATCTGCAGGGGTCTTCAGAAGCCCCATTCAAAGCACTGAGTAAAATAGTGTTCTGAAAGGGGCTTCAAAAGGCCCCTGTGTGCCGAAAGCTCACAGTTGACCAGTGGACTAGGCACGTCCCCCCACTCCTGCCACAGGCAGAACTGAGGCCGGGTGAATTTAAAGCAGCAGTGGAGAACCTTTTGCAGGCCAAAGGTCTCTTTGTCATGGGCAACCTGTTCCAGTGGTAGGCGATGCCAGAGGCAAGTGGGCGGATCGATGGATGTGACCGCTGCAAGATACTCTGCATTCCAGCCTCACATGTCTCCACCCAGGCAAGCATGAGACATTAGTTAACACAGTTCCAGGACACATTTCAGTCAGGTAAAAACATGAAAGGTCATTTCAGGGCAGGGCTGGTGAGGTGCAGCCTAGGGGGTGGGGGCCAGTGGTATCACATTATGCTCCTTTGTCTAAGATTCTCCACCCCTTGAGCTAAGGCTACAGGGTGAATTCTGGACGAAGAGGGCTTTAAACCAGGGTGTTACCAGGATCCAGATATTTACTCCCAGTGGACCTCTAGCTCTACATCAGTGGGGCTTGTTGCTGCAGTGAATACAGCTGAAACTACAGATATTTGCAAATCATCCAACCATCTATTGTTTGCCTACTCCTGGGCTACCAGGGTGGTTGATCTCTCTCTCTACAAACCGCCTTTGGGTGAAAGGAATGAAGAATGCTGCCCATGACTTTGTCTCCACCAAGGACAGAGGCACAAGGCCAAGTCCAGTTCTTAGCAGCACAGTTTAAGAAGGATCTTCACAAGCTGGAACACATGCAGAGGAAGGTGACCAAGATGGTCAAGGGTCTGGAAACCAAGCCATATATCACAGGGGTGCCCAAACTTTTTTCAAAGAGGGCCAGTGAGGGCCGACCAAAACTGCTGAGCTTTTTTTAGAATTGAAGCTGTTGAGCTTTTTTTATGATTTTACCCCAAAGTTATTGAGCTTTTTAAAGGATTGAACTTCTTGAGCTTTTTGGGGGGATTTAACCCCAATAAATAAACTGCCACAAGGGCCAAATAAAACCAGCCAAGGGGCCGAATTAGGCCCCCATATTGGACTTTGGGAATGCTCGCCATATGAGGAACGGTTGAAGGAGTTGAGTACATTTAGCCTGAAAAAGAGGAGACTGAGAGGAGATGCGATAACCATCTTCAAATATCTCAAGGGCCGCTACATGGAAGATGGAGCAAGCTTGTATTCTCCTGCTGTGGAGGCTAGAACCCAAGCCGCTGGATTCAAGTTACAAGAAAGAAGATTCCAACTTAACATTAGAAAGAACTTTATGATGGCAAGAGCTGTTTGACAGTGGACCGGTCTCCCTCAGGAGGTGGTGGACTCTCCTTCCTTGGAGGTTTTTGAGCAGAGTTGGCCATCTGTCCTGGATGCTTCAGTTGAGTTTCCTTCATTGCAGGGGGTTGGACTGGATGACCCTTGGAGTCACCTTCCAACTCTACAATTGGGACTGAGATAACTGCCCATCACAGCTGGAAAGAGACTCATATCTGTAAGTTCCTTAATAAATCGCAAGTGCATACAATATGCTTAATGTGATCAGTTGTCTTTTTGTGTCAGGGCTGCTGGATATGTGTGTAGCTGGACTGTGTGGTGAAGTTTTGAACTGCAGGTAGCAGCATTTCATGGAAGTATCTTCAGACCCTTGCCTGACTGGCCACACACATTGGCCAATGGATTGTGTTAGACAGGAAGGACTTCTTATTCCAGCTGGGTTTTGCTTGCAGTACAAGAGTATTCCTGCATCCTTGACTGCTATGGCTTCCCAGTTTAACCTTGGACCATGCCCCTTGACTATATCTTTTGGTTCTTCTTTGGTGCTGGCTGCCAATTTCTTCCTGACTACTGGCTCAGCCTAGTAAAAGGTAAAGGTACCCCTGCCCGTACGGGCCAGTCTTGCCAGACTCTAGGGTTGTGCGCTCATCTCACTCAAGAGGCCGGGGGCCAGCGCTGTCCGGAGACACTTCCGGGTCACGTGGCCAGCGTGACAAGCTGCATCTGGTGAAGCCAGTGCAGCACACGGAACGCCGTTTACCTTTCTGCTGGTAAGCGGTCCCTATTTATCTACTTGCACCCGGGGGTGCTTTCGAACTGCTAGGTTGGCAGGCGCTGGGACCGAACGACGGGAGCGCACCATGCGATCGGCAAGTCCTAGGCGCTCAGCCTAGACTGCAGCGCAAAACCCAACCCTGACATATTTTGATTAATTGCATTTGTAACCAACCTTTCCTCCACATTTTATCCTCTCAACAACCCTGTGAGGAAGGCTTGGCTGAGAGTATGACTGGCCCAAAGTCACACAGTGAGCTTTGTGCCCGAGTAGGGATTTGAACCTTGGGCTCCTAGGTTCTAGTTCAAAACTCTAACCATTAAACAACACTACTCCGGAGGCTATCAGTAGTTTTAATCAGTATGGCTGTATTCTTCCTCCACTGTTGATGGCAGTATTCCTTTAAATACCAGTTGCTGAGAATTGCATATTGGGGAGAGTGCTGTTGCAGCCAGGTTTACTATGGAGGACTCCCTGGTCCTGAATGGGGTAACTGTGCCCCTGAAGGACCAGGTGCGCAGCCCGGGAGTTATTTGGGACTCAGAGCTGTCCATGGAGGCGCAGGTCAGTTCTGTGTCCAGGGCTCCATCTGGTACGCAGGCTGAGACCCTACCCGCCTGCAGCTGTCTCGCCAGAGTGGTGCATGCTCTGGTTATCTCCCGCTTGGACTACTGCCATGCGCTCTATGTGGGGCTACCTTTGAAGATGACCCAGAAACTACAACTAATCCAGAATACAGAAGGTAGACTGGTGACTGGGAGTGGCTGCCGAGACCACATAACACAGGTCCTGAAAGACCTACATTGGCTCCCATTATGTTTCCGAGCTCAATTCAGAGTGTGGGGACTGACTTTTAAAGCTCTAAACAGCTCCAGCCCTGTATACCTCACCCAATTGTGATCCCAAAAGTGCTGGTACTCAGAGGCATGCTGCCTCCAACAAGGGAGGTCTTACACAGGTCTCATGGCAAGTAGCCATTGATAGCCTTACGCAGCATTAATTTGTCCTTTAAAGCCATCCAAGCTGGTGGCAAATACGAAGATGTAGACCGAAGAGTAACCGAGGTGAGAATGTACTGCATTTTAAAAACCAGGTCTTGAAATACGATGTGCTGCTTTCTGTCCTGCAAGTGGGTGGGGATGTTCACCGGCATATGTCTCCCAGTCCAGAAATGTGGTGTCGGCAACAAAGTAAAGGGTTAAACTCTGCCCCAGATCTCCTTAAATACTGGCCTGGTTGGTTTCCCTTTCCATTACAGGTGTTAATTAACATTGCAAAACTGGGGTGATTATATTATCTCCCAAGTACTGCAGTTGCCAGTATGCTTATTGGAAGTGTCATCTTCGGCTTCTTCTTTTGCCGTTTTATTGCTGCTTGTATCCATTCCCACCGCCACCACCTTCTCTACACCCGTACATCCTTACCTCTCTACTGAGGATAAGTTGGGATCTTGCTGCTGATATAGGACTCTTTAAGGCTACAGCAGATCTGTGAAGCCTTTTGAGGGTTTTGTCTTAACAGACAGGGTGAATGGGTCGTTGTGATATCACAGACAGGGTTGGGGGAAAAGGTGCTGATGTTGTTCAATTACATATTAAACTGAGGGTGGGAGAGAACTCAGACTGGATTTCTGGTGCCAGTGTCTTAATCTGGATGTTGCAATAAAATAAAATTGCAGGCATGAGGAGCACTGATTCTGCAATTAATACCTACCTGGAATCAGCCACCTGTCTGGGAGTGAAAACACAGCAGTACGGTTTTGCAATAGCACCTTGTAATGACTTCAAAGACTTAACATGTCACAAGTCAGGTGCATGAACTGTAGTTGTTGGTAAATGCTGGGAGGCCAGGCAATATGTTCAATTTGGGTTTGTGGGACTGAGTTGTCTGGGAAAACTGATCTGTCAAAACAGAATAATCTTTCAGTGCAGGGATAGAGACCCTGTGGCCTGCCAGATGTTGCTGGACCCGCAGCTCCATCAGCCCCAGCCAGTTGTGGTCCAGCAACACATGACGGGCCGCAGGTTCTCTGCTCCTCTTATAAGGCGCCCTAAGCTATCAGATTTCCTTAAATACTGCTATCGCCCAGAGTGGCTGGGGTAACCCAGTCAGATGAGTGGCGTGTGTGTGTGGTTGTTGTTATTATCAAATCATCATTGTGCCCTGTGTCTGCCCATAGGCAGATACAAACGTCTACAACGTTTGTAACCACATTTTTATTTTTTTTAAGCAAGTTTGCCAAATCCAAAGTGTGACATGTACTGTTACTCATGCACCCTTCTGGATAGAGGTAGGCACTTGGTGTTCCAGATGAGATGGATTGGTGCCATGCGCCAGGTTTTTGTATTTAAAAAAACCCCTCTTTCTGGTGTTCTTTCTTAAGAGTATTTCAAACTACTCTTTGGGAGCAAATAGCAGGCAGGGGAGTGATTTTCAGCATATAACTTGCATAGGGCCCCAATCTGGAAAGAGAGCACATTGCAGCTCAGGGGCCCACACCTGCCTTTTCTCCTAAGTAAGCATGTCCAGATTAAGCACACTTTTTTAAAAAAGGACGCCATGCTGGGGTCAGGCCTCCCTGCATCCCTAGAAGGGCACATGGTCAAGCTGACCGATCCTTAGGGACAGAAGATGCTGCCCTTATACCAAGTTATCATAGCATCAGTCCAGGACCCACAGTGAGACTGCTGAAAACTGAGACGGAGGCCCACCCCACTGGCCTTGCAATGTGGGGGCAGGGGGGCAGAACCAGCTTCAAAATGGAGGCAGAATTTGGCATATTCATCTGACAGTCACTGGCACCTAATCCTGTATCTGACCTGTATTTGGAAATGGCTTAATTCTTTGCCACCGCACTTTCCTTGCAGCATGGTGTTCCATAACTCAGCTTCCCTCAGGTTAAGTGCTCTGGAGGTGTTGTGACCCATCCTCCCTGTTTTAGGCACTCCTTGCTGAGCCAAAGGCACTTGACAAACAGAGAAGAAGGTTTGTTTCATATTCTTCTTTCCCGCCTCCACGCGTCTGCCCAATGTTGTTAACACATCTGCTGTAACAACTTCTCCCATTCTCCTTTCACATTCCACTCATACCATACAGGTGAAACTTGAAAAATTAGAATATCGTGGAAAAGTTCCTTTACTTCAGTAATTCAACTTCAAAGGTGAAACTAATATAGGAGATTGACTCATGACATGCAAAGCGAGATATGTCAAGCCTTGATTTGTTATCATTGTGATGATCATGGCGTACAGCTGATGAAAACCCCAAATTAACAATCTCAGAAAATTAGAATATTCAAGGAAAACAAGGATTGCAAATCGAGCAAGATTGGACCTCTGAGAAGTAGAAGCACATCTCGCTTTGCATGTCATGAGTCGATCTCATATATTAGTTTCACCTTTGAAGTTGAATTACCGGTAATGAAATAAAGGAACTTTTCCATGATATTCTAATTTTTCGAGTTTCCCCTTCTGCACAAGTTGCTTCAGTCTGCCTGCCTGCCTCGCTTGCCTTGCTTGGCAACTTTTCCTCCTCTCCATCCTTTCCCAGGCAGCTGACTCCCTTTCTTTCTACACCCACATCACCAACCAGGATTAAAAGCCACACTGTGGTAAACAAAGGCAGATGTTAACTTCCCTTTCTGCCTCCATAGGATTGGCCTGGAAGGGCTCCTTTCACAGAGCTGCAGGCTTGCGGTGAATTTGTCAGAATAGGTTTTCATTTTATGCAGGTTGAGCAGGCATGAGGGGGACATGGAAGCAATCACACAGCGTGGCAGTGTTATTTCCACAGTAACTGGTGCCTTCTCTCAGATACCAGGGTAGTTCTAGTGTTTACTTTATGATGGCCCTATTCTGTGCTAGCCGCCTGACACACAACTCTGCATAGAATTTAAGATGGTGGGTGGCTGGCGTTTCACAAGTGCTGTGCCCAGCTACTCTACAAACAGCTTTTAAAATACTAAATAAATAAACAAGGGGGCAGGAGCAGGAGATCTGGGCCACCAGCTGATGCCCTCCCCCCAGATTCTGCTTCATAATTTTAAGCCTTTCCATGTTTGTTTGTTTGTTTGTTTGCTTGCTTGCTTTGTTCATCATTATAACGAATTATTTATTCGTTTATTTGTACTTAACTCTCACACACAGCATTTGCCCAGTTTCCTTCTAAAATGTGGCATGCAACATCACTTTTCCTTTTCTGGAGAAGGGGCGGCAAAGATTATGCACGATTGAAAATGAGAAATTTCTACACGATATTGTGCCTATGGGCAACATGGTCTTCAGGGGGCCCCAATAAAATATTTGAGGGGGTCAGGACCCCCAAAAGTTCATGGGCATTGCCATTCAAATAGTGTGTGTGTGCCACATCATGTGATCAATTATGAGGGGTGGGGCTTACTTGGGCCCCCCAATATTTTATTCAAGTTAGCAGCCCTGCAACTTGCCTCAACTCTGCCACTCCCCATTTTAATTTTAAGTAAGAGTATTGGCAGCTTTCACTTTTGATTGGTTGTGGGGCGTTCCCTGCATAGTTTGCCTCTGTTTTATTTGTCTGGCATAGAAACCATGTACGTGCTTTGCCTGTTTTGGTTGCATTCTGAGCATCGCTAGCTTTTCTCTTGTTAAATGGGGAGCTTGTGATGCCCACAATAGTTTCTTAGCTTTCCAGATGTGTCCCCTGGGCCCCAAAGGGTTGGGGGCCACTGGCATGTTACTTCTGTAGTAAGCTGGTTTCTGCAGATGGAATGGTGAGTACAAATCCTCTATTAAACAAACAAACAAGCATCCCATTTAAAGACTTAAGTTCCTCCCTTTTTTAAAAAAGGTATGACCAATAATAATAATAATAATAATAATAATAATAATAATAATAATAATAATTTATTATTTGTACCCCGCCCATCTGGCTGGGTTTCCCCAGCCACTCTGGGCGGCTTCCAACAAAGACCAAAAATACACTAAAATGTCACACATTAAAAACTTCCCTGAACAGGGCTGCCTTCAGATGTCTTCTGAATGTCAGGTAGTTGTTTATCTCTTTGACATCTGATGGGAGGGTGTTCCACACGGCGGGCGCCACCACCAAGAAGGCCCTCTGCCTGGTTCCCTGTAGCTTTGCTTCTCACAATGAGGGAACTGCCAGAAGGCCCTCAGCGCTGGACCTCAGCGTCCGGGCAGAACGATGTGGGTGGAGACGCTCCTTCAGGTATACTGGGCCAACGTGAAGTCAGATTTGCTTGCTTAAGCTGCCCCAGAAAGGGCAAAAAGGCTTTTGGTGTACAGTAAGAATGACATAATATAATAATTTATATACTACTTAATTCTAAGGTAGATTTCTAAGCAAAATATGAAAACCAGCACACAGTTATTAAAATATAAATATTCCTAATTAAAATACAGAGTAAATGATCCCATTGAAACATAAACAACCATAAGAAAATATACAGTAAAGCAATCTCATTAGAACAACACAGCAATTAATGAAATGTTTCCCAGTTAGTCACATCTACCTCTTCTAAGCAACAATAAAGCAATCAAGCAGGATTTAGGTACTAAAAAGATACTGTCAAAGAACACTAAATTATAATATTTGCAAATAAATGAATGACCGCACAGAAATAGGTTTATGACTGCTTAGTTAAAGTTTTGGCTTCCGGCTTCCTCAGCAAACATTACTAATCCCAGCTGTGAAACAGAAGAAGGGGAATTATTCAAGTAAACTGTACTAAGCCTTTCTCAACTCCTTTGCTAAACTGAGCTTGTCTTTTTACAAGGACCATGTGTCAGTCTTTCAGTCCTTAGACTTTAGAATTGCCAGCCTAATTAACATCCGGCAGGCCCTGTCGCTATACTGTTTTCAACGTGTTTCCCCCTACCTATTAGCTCTGCCCCCACACTTGCTTCTCCCTAAACCCAGAGATTCCCTATGCAGTCAGTACAACTCTCCTATTTGGATTTTCAAAGCATAGGGACTCTAGAGATCCACATTAAGCCCGGTGATAGACTGGCCCAGTATGGAAGAGCCCTTAATGAGCATTCATCCTGATTTGCTTGCAGGGAGGTTAGATGATGTTGCACCAAAGGAGGTGCCATCCTGAAATTTTTTGTACATTTCCTCTATCACTATCCCCACTGCAATGTCTGGATCCCATGGGCATAGCCAAGGAGGGTGGGGGTGGGGCACCTGTTCCCCCCATAAATCAAGTAAATAAATAAAAATACCTGACCAAATGCATCACAGATAACTCGGTTCTTCCCTCACTAACATAAAGCCTCCCCCCCCCATAAAGCCAAGCTACACCCATGTTGGATTTTTTAATGTGATGCAAGTTTGATGCCGAAGATCTCCCGGTTGACTAACTGCACAACCTGAATTTGAAGCTGTGTGTTTGAATCCCACCCCAAAATAGTGACAGTCTGGAAGTGCCCCATTTCTACTCAGAAGTCCATGAGATTTCAATCAGGCTTTGTTGTTGTTTAGTCGTTTAGTCGTGTCCGACTCTTTGTGACCCCCTGGACCAGAGCACGCCAGGCCCTCCTGTCTTCCACTGCCTCCCGCAGTTTGGTCAAACTCATGCTGGTAGCTTCGAGAACACTGTCCCACCATCTCGTCCTCTGTCATCCCCTTCTCCTTGTGCCCTCCATCTTTCCCAGCATCAGGGTCTTTTCCAGGGAGTCTTCTCTTCTCATGAGGTGGCCAAAGTCTTGGAGCCTCAGCTTCAGGATCTGTCCTTCCAGTGAGCACTCAGGGCTGATTTCCTTCAGAATGGAGAGGTTTGATCTTCTTGCAGTCCATGGGACTCTCAAGAGTCTCCTCCAGCACCAGAACTCAAAAGCATCAATTCAATCAGGCTTACTCCCAGGTAAATGGGCTTAGGGATTGCAGCCTTAATCTGTCAGTTAATCAGTTAATAAAAATACGCACCCTAATTTACAGGTGAAACCTTAGGGCTGTACCATATGTCCTGTTCATCAAGCACTTGTTCCTATTTGCTTGAGGGGAAGTTATCCAACTACTTCACCTAAGCATGTGTGGAGCCTGTGGCACTGCGGGTTAATGCTTCTAGCTCTTATGCAGAAGGTTGGTGGTTCGAGCCCACCCAGAGATAACTGTGAGCAGGATGCTTTGCAGGATATTTGACCAGATGACCTTCCCTTCCAACTCTGCAATTCAGCAACCATGACTTTCCTTACTGCAAAAAAATAATAATATCCATGGTGCTGTTTGTTGGGGGGGGGCAGTGAGTTTGCTGCGCAAGAGCACCAAATCCACTTTGTGACACTCTGGAAGTCACCTTGCAAGCCTAGTCTACCCAGAAGTAAGCCCCATCGAGTTCTTAGCTAAGCACGCATACAGGTTTCAACTTGAGTCTCCAGCTACGACTGGTGCGAAATATTGGCATGTTGTAAAAAAAAAAAGGTATAACAAAATAAAATGAATAAATAGATTTTTAAAAATATTTTAACAAAACTTTTATGTAGTCAACTTTGTCCCCCAGAGGAGCTGGTCGTGTTATTTGTTTAATTTTACTTCTTTTAAAGTTTTGAGTTGAAGGAAGCACAGCAAAACGCGACTCTGGTGGGACTCGAACCCACAACCTTTGAATGACTTCACCCAGTCATTAGTCTAGAAGTCCAATGCGCTATCCATTGCGCCACAGAGCCTGCTAGGTAGCGAGTGATGATCCTGCCCGTCCTCTTTTTGCCCTCCCTCCCTCCACCAGTTGCGGCTCGGCTGAGCTCTTGATCTGATTACAGAGCCGTACTTTTTCCTGTCGCCAGTTGTCCCTTTGCAAAGGCGTCTTAAGGCCACCGACTCTGCAAGGCGCGCGCGGGGACACCGCGAGCCTCTTCGCTTCTCCTTTGAAACTTCTTTTGCAAACTCCCAGCTCTTGCTTTGCTGTCTGAAGCTTTTGATCAAAAAATAAAATATGTGAAACTGCTTGGGATCGTTTTAACATGCGGTGGGAGGGCCATTGCCATAGGACCAGGGGCTGGGACAGAAGGAAACCGAGCTAGGTAGTGGGAGAGAAAGAGAGAATGAAAAAGCGGTACAAGAGTAAAGAAAGGAGGAAAGTCAAAGCACACAGACCTTCCCCACCCACGTGCAAGGCTGCGGAGCGCAGGAAAGACTACAAATCCCGCGGTGCATTGCGCCAAAGCGCTGCTCTCTCTCGCCCCCTGCAGGACCCCCTTTTGCCAGAGCTCCTGCAGCATCAGTGGCTAGCTGCTGCTGTCGCTGCCGTTTGGTTTCTTCATTTTCTCCTCCCGCTTGCAATTCTCATGCGGGAGGGAGGGCAGTGCAGGTGGAAAAGGGAGGAGGAAGGAAGTGCCAAAGCCAGGAGGAGCCGCAGCCGCTGGGCTGATCAGGAGAGCCTTTGCAAGAGGAGGAGGAGGAGGAGGAGGAGGCAGGAGAAGACAAGATCCTGCCCTTCTGACAGCTGCTGAACCAGCTGTTACTGCTGGACCCGCATCCTCTGCCCCGCGAGGAGGATGCGATGTTGTGACACTCAGTAGCCACAGAGCTCCGTAGGATAGCAGAGAGAGGTGGGTTGCTGCTGTGTCAGTGTCTATAGCGCTGCAGCATCACAGAGCGCTACATCGGGGGTGGGGACTGGAAAGAGAGGGGAGCCTTTTGTCAGGGGGTACGTCCCAGGATGCTGCTCCTCATTCTAAAGCCGGGTGGATACAGACCCCCCGCAACTTGTGTGTGTGTGTGTTAAGGAAAGGGGGCTATTGTGCAAAGATGCCTATAAAAAAAGCTGCCTCTCCCCCCACTTTCTGTTTGGGGAGTGGGTGTAGAAGCGGGGCTATTGACCTTATTTTCTCCTTTGTGTGCGCGTAATAATATATAATAATATCCTTCGTTTCCTAGCTGTCAGGCCCCAGCTATGCTTTCGTTTGGTTTAATGCTGCGGACGCCCTAATTCAGTCCCCAGACCTACCTCCACTTACCTGTGAGCAAGCGCCATTAGATTCAACGGGTCTTGCTTCTGAGTAGACCTTGCTAGGAGTGCATTCTTCACAGCCTCATCTTGTGTCTGGTTTATGTCTAACGAGGCTTATAATAGCAGGCTTGCCTATTATCGTCGCTCCCTTTCTTCCTTTGCCATTATTTTTCGTAATAGCATCAGTGGGTTGCTGTGAAGCTGGGAGGACTTTAAGCTTGGCTCCTCCTGGGTGAAGCTAGTACTCTATTATTCCTTTGCAGATAACGAGAGTGGAGTAAAATGGAGTAGAGGGGGAGGGAGCTACCATTCGGGATGTTTAATTGTATGTTGGTTTAATATCACTGAAAAGGACTTCTCAGAATTTAAGGCTCATATTTCAGGAATGAGTGTGGTGGATATTTTTAAGTCCATCCTTAAGAGCTGGTGTTTTAATGTTTCTTTGGGTGGTGGGGGAAGTAAGGCTGGCTCTAAACATAAGATGAATAGATAATACTAAGGCTTTGTCGTCTTCTTCTTCTTCTAAAAAAGATAATTTGATATGTGTGAGAATCCTCCCCCATCCCAGAGTTCCCTGCTGCAATCACCTGTTTTCTCAAGCAACCGAGGCAGCATGTGTGTAATATTTCTTATTGAAAGGGATGGGGGATAAATTGCAGTTTTTGCTTTGCTAACCTGCAGAGAGTTCCTCCAGGATACTATAGGATTCGCTCTCCGCAGCATGGCCACAAAACCTGCCAGAAATTGAAAGCCCAACAATTTTACTGAGTGTGTCGTGTGTGCTTCTCCTGTGGCACAGAAATTACCTTAAAGAGATCAGGACATTGCCTCATTCAGACCTAGGTCTGGGGGTGTGTGTGAAGATTTTGAGGAGGCCCCTCCACATTCCTGACCCTGTTCTGATCTCTAAGGCCCAGATCTTCTACTCACCTGGCCTCCAGGTAAATGCTTTTTGAGCATTAAGGGGCCTTTTAAGCATTACCACACCTTTCCAAGCATAAGGTGTCCTTTTCACTCCAGTGTGTGTATATATCTATATATATAGATAGATAGATATAAAGAGCAGCCATAAGGAAATCACTTTTTGGTGGTGGACTGGGGGAGATAAGTATCTGTGTTGTTGTTATTTTCAAAGCCGTGTACAGTGATACCTTGGTTCTGAAATGCCTTGGTACTCAAACACTTTGGTTCCCAAATGCTGAAAACCCAGAAGTAAGTGCTCGGTTTTTGAACGTTTTTTGGAAGCCGAACGTCCAATGCGGCTGTCAGTTATTGTTTCTGGGGTACCTGCACAAATCAAAAACTGCACCTTGGTTTTCGAACATTTCGGAAGTCAAACTAACTTCTGGAACAGATTAAGTTTGGTGCTTTTGTTTTTGTTATTTATTTTGTGTTTTTGTTTTTGAGGCTTTTTCGGTTAATTTGTTTTTATGACTGTGTGGAACCCAGTTCAGCTACTGATTGATTGATTGATTGATTGTGTGACTGCAGAAATGCATAAAAGCCCCCCCCCATCCAAACAATGACTATCATCAGTGTAGGTAAGAATTATTATTGTTATTTTAGTTTTTATCATCTACAATACTGTCTTATTTATTTTATTGTACAGTACATTGATTATTGCTTTCATTTTATGGATCAATGGTCTTGTTGGATAGCAAAATTAATGTTAAATTGCTGTTTTAGGGGTTGATTTTAGAAGTCTAGAATGGATTAATCCGTTTTGCATTACTTTCTATGGGGAAGCGCGCCTTGGTTTTGGAACGCTTTGGTTTTGGAATCGACTTCCAGAACAGATTAAGTTTGAAAAGCAAGGTACCACTGTAATACTGGAAGAATAATAATAATACTGGAAGAAGGAGAGTGCTTCTTAGCAGGCAGTGGTGAAATACCCCACCACCTCTGCTAGTCAGGGGAGACCAGTCTTCCCCAATGCAGTGCCCTGCAGAGGATTTGGACAAGAACTGCTGTCAGCCCCAGCCAGCGGTGGCACCAATTTGGCTGGTGAGGGCGCTGAACCCTCCTGGTCTGACTTGGCACAAAGCAGCTTTCTCTGCCCATATTTCACCCTGGCAACCAGGACTGTGATGGGCTCACCATTGTCGTAGAAGGTGCAGGGCTTTGCTTCTCTGTATCAGGATTCTAATCATGGGCCTCTGCTTTACAAAGGTTTTGAAAGTCCACAGTGGAAAGGTTGGGGGGAAAGCCAGTATCGGTTATTTAAATGATATGCATGCGTCAAAAGAAGACACAGTATTTGAGGAAAGAAGGAAGCACAGCTAAAAGGCTAAAAAGGAAGGCTGTGTTTGTGAGTGACTGTTGTGCAAAGCTATTACAAACACAGGAAGCTGCCTTATACAGAGCCAGGCCATTGGTCCATCCAGCTCTGTATCGCCTACACTGACTGGCAGTAGCTCTCCAAGGCTTTAGAAAGGGTTCTCTCGCAGCCTTACCTGGAGATGCCAGGGACTGTGTTCAAAGCACATGATGGCCCTTTCCCATTTTGTTGGAGTGCTCAGCCTACATATTTGTAAATAAACATTAATGTTACAAAATGGCACTAAGCCTCCAGCAACAACCTTCTGACGGGAGCCAAGCCTGAAAAGTGCTGCGTCCCTGGAACTTCTCACTGCTTAGAAATGTGGTGTGAGCACAACATGCCGGTGTGGCAACAGGGCAGTGCTAGGACAGGGGTGGTGATTTTGTGGTCCAGCAACATCTGGAGAAGGGACGCTGGTGGCGCTGTGGGTTAAACCACTGAGCCTAGGACTTGCCGATCAGAAGGTCGGTGGTTCAAATCCCCGCGACGGAGTGAGCTCCCGTTGCTCTGTCCCTGCTCCTGCCAACCTAGCAGTTCGAAAGCACGTCAAAGTGCAAGTAGATAAATAGGTACCGCTCCGGCGGGAAGGTAAACGGCGTTTCCGTGCGCTGCTCTGGTTCGCCAGAAGCGGCTTAGTCATGCTGGCCACATGACCCAGAAGCTGTACGCTGGCTCCCTTGGCCAATAAAGCGAGATGAGCGCCATAACCCCAGAGTCCCTCACGACTGGACCTAATGGTCAGGGGTCCCTTTACCTTTAACATCTGGAGGGCCACAGTTTCCACCTCTGCACTAGTGCAGGCAACACTGGGAAGTTACCTTGTGTTCATAGTGTGTCTCTCATTTACAAATGTACAAGTGGAATACAGTGGAAGCAAGTCTAACAGGTAGCAAAACCACTAAACCTGCCTCAGATGCTCAAAGCACGCGCACATGTCACACCGCATGCCTTTCATCCAGCTTGACTCCTGATCAACAATTCCCATAAATCTGTCTGTCTCCCAAATGAAACCTGATACTCTCCTGCTTTAAAGGAAAATATCATTTGGGGGCATGAACATTCTTTTTGCCAAGTCCATGCTTGCTCATTGGTTGCTTGGTGACAGGTCCAGTCAAAGGAATCAAGACTGTCAGGTTTGTAACAGTGAGTAAGAAGCAGCAGTGTTACATCACAATAATAAGCCATGGTGAACTCAAGTGTTGAGTAAGAGGAGCTCTGCTTTCCAGTTCCTGGGTTCCCACTTTGACTGCTTAATAAACTTGTTTCCCTTTATCAAATGGCTCAAAGGGTAGTTGAATAGCGGATTGAACCCTTCCTTTTGGGCAAGAGCCATAGCTCAGTGTAAGAGCACCTGCCTTCCATGCAAATGGTCCTAAGTTCAATCCCTGGCACGTCCAGGTAGGGCTGGGAATTTTGACAGTCTGAAACCCTGGAGAGCCTCTGCTGGTCAGTGTGGACAATATGGAGATAGATGCATCCTTTGAGGCCAGAGGGGGATAGTGCAACTGGTGTGCCGTTCACATGGCGAGGGAGAAGCTGCTGCACCTGTTTTGGGAGGTTTGATGGAAGCCCAGATAGCTGCTAGGCGTAGGTGGGGATGACTCTGCCCTCTGGGAGGGAAGGAAGGCTAGATAAGGGTGGAACTGTGAAGAGGTGGAGAAACAGAGACAGGAGGCTGGAGGAGAGGAAGGCAGGAGGGAGCTCAAGAGCTGCTTACAGTGACCTGGGGATGTAAGTGATTCATCTACAGTGCTGTATATTTTGGAAAGTAGTTTGTCTGTTGATTTATAGTGTATAGATGTAGATTTCGGCTGGCAAATTTAGGCTGATAAGCACAGGTTAAATCCTGATTGGTTGGATGGGATCTATGCAAACCTCTTCTTATTTCAGGAAGGTGTTTTGGACTGCGAAAATAGAGGTTTTCCCTATCGTATTAGCAGAAGTTTCCAAGTGAACCTGCATGGGAATCCCTGCTCAAAATGATGGGGGAAACCCTCCCCAGTTTTAGTGAGGGATTCCGAAGAACACACCCCTTCCTGCTCTTCACGCTGAATAAGCCACTCACACAACTGCAAATTGTGAAAGAAGCACCTAGCTTAATTTGGCCCAAAGTGTGATCAGCTTCTGAAGGAAATCAAACTAGATGTCTCTCCAAATTGTATAATTCTGAACAATTACAATAGCACTGCTGATGTACAGATTCTGTGGTCGTCTTTAAAAACACACACACAAATCCTTTTGGCAGGATTTTAAAAATTGTTCTTTTTCTGAAAAAAAAGGGGGGCTAATTGACTTGTCCTCTGTGTTTTGAATCATCAAGACACAATGAACGAACTCTGCAGGGTTCCCTTGAGTCCAGTCCAGTGGGCTCCCTGCTGCAGGATGGCATTAAGAGCCCAGCCAGGGAGTTGTATTTAACCTTCTGCCCAGGCTTCAGCAAAAACCAGGATCCATTTTGTTGACTTGCCACCCAAGACCAACAAACGAAGAGCAGAGGGGGTCAGATTCGTCTATCCCCATCCTCCTCACTGGCCAGCTTTTTAGCTGAATAACCCTTGGCTTGAGGACAGCCTGCAAACTGCAGTGTCATCTCAGGGCTTGTAAACCCCACCGGCATAGCTGATGCGTTTCCTGTTGCCTGTCTAACGTCCTGTTTCTCCCTGTCACATCAAAAGGGAGCATGATGTGCATGAATAGGTTGAAGGCCAGGGAGGGTTTGTCTGGAGTTCAGGGTTGGAGCCTGTGCCTGCAGAGAAGAATCAAGTCCTTCAGAAGCCGAGGTGCTTTACGGACATCTAAGAGTTGTTCCTGTTTCCTGTGGTGCTTCAGGCATGCCTTTCTAGATGCACACATGCAAAGGGGCACTGGACACTATCAGAGCTGAAAATAGGGGCATGCTTGTCATGCCAGAGGCATAGCTGTCAACTGTTCCCCTTTTTTTAAAAGGGAAATTCCCTTATTCCGAATAGGATTCCTCGCAAGAAAAGGGAAAAGTTGACAGCTATGACCAGAGGCAAATGTGGTTGGATGTGGAAAGGGGAAGAATATGTGATTATTTCAGAACCAGTGTGGTGTAGTGGTTAAGAGCGGTAGTCTCATAATCTGGGAAACCGGGTTCGAGTCTCCGCTCCTCCACATGCAGCTGCTGGGTGACCTTGGGCCAGTCATGCTTCTTTGAAGTCTCTCAGCCCCACTCACCTCACAGAGTGTTTGTTGTGGGGGAGGAAGGGAAAGGAGATTGTTAGCCGCTTTGAGACTCCTTAAAGGGAGTGAAAGGCGGGATATCAAATCCAAACTCTTCTTCTTCTTCTTACACATACTTTCACTTAGTTAATACCACCTTGTTATAAGAGAACCACCTCCTTTATTTTCTGTAAGCCCTTCCCCAGAACTCACTTTTTGGCCAAAGTCATTGGATCATGGCCCTGACCGTAGGGCAGACTTCCCCATCCTTCCAGATGTTGTTGCAGTCGCCATTCCCACCAGCCTCAGCTAGCATGTCAGAGGCTGTGGGAGTCCAGAACACATGGAATACAGCTGTGGTACTTCCAGAAGATCTGTTCATTCAGCATTTGTTCAGAGCATAGAATCGTAGAATCTTGAAGTTGGAAGGGGACCCTGAGGGTCATCTAGCCCAACCCCAACCCCCCACAATGCAGGAATTTTATTTATCTATTAATCTGTAAACTAAACTAAAACGTCCGTGACAAATGGCCACCCAACCTCTGCTCTAAAACTTCCAATAAAGGAAAGCCCAACGCCTTCTGGGGGAGTCCGTTCCACTGTTGAACAGTGCTTATTTTCAGAAAGTTTATTCAGAATCTCCTTTCTTGTAACTTGAAGACATTGGTTTGGATATGTATGTACTTATTATTGATTTATTTAATAAGATTTATACTCTGCTTGACAAAAAACCCTTTCAAAGTGGTTTTTAAGAAGATAATAACATCAAGATAAATTCACAACCATACTTTAAAACATACAAAAGTTGAAATACTACACAATCACCCTCAACTTTCTAAGCACCTGGGTAGGTTTGTCTAAACAAAAATGTTTTTAGGAGGTGCCGAAAAGAGCACATTGAAGGCACCTGCTTGATCTCAGTAGGCAGGGGAGTGTAGACGGCACTGGCTGTTTAATGACATTTCATTCCAATTACACACTTTGGAAAGAATATAAAGGTAAAGGTAAAGGGAACCCTGACCGTTAGGTCCAGTCGTGGCCGACTCTGGGGTTGCGGCGCTCATCTCACTTTATTGGCCGAGGGAGCCGGTGTACAGTCATGTGGCCAGCATGATTAAGCCGCTTCTGGTGAACCAGAGCAGCGCACGGAAATGCCGTTTACCTTCCCGCCGGAACGGTACCTATTTATCTACTTGCACTTTGACGTGCTTTCGATCTGCTAGGTTGGCAGGAGCAGGGACCGAGCAACGGGAGCTCACCCTGTCGCGGGGATTCGAACCACCGACCTTCTGATCGGCAAGTCCTAGGCTCTGTGGTTTAACCCACAGCGCCACCTGCTTCCCTTGGAAAGAATATACAGTGTAGATAAATGCCAATCTTTGCAGACTTGCAAAGTTAAGTACAACCTTCTTTAAACACTTGGCAAGAGTCATTGACATGATATATAAATAACCTCTCCAATAAGAAAAGTGAGCAGAAGGTTCTTCTGGTGGTGAATTAATGGAAGAAATGCAGGGAGACTAGTTATTTCTGGTAATGTTACCTCTGACTGCTTTGCAGTGTTGTGTTAATTCATCTACAAGTGCAAACTTCCAAACAAGTTTTGCAGTTAACTAATGATCATTTCTCCATCCAGGCTGCTACCGTGGAAAAATCAATTATTGTTATCCTGCATTTTCCTGTCACTTACCTCACCTAAAAGAAGTCTAATCTTTTGGGAAAGTGGGTTTGTGCAATTGCACTAAACCTCCCAATCAACTATAACTGCTGACCCTGAATTTGTCGGTATGTTACTGAAGTCCCCCAGATTAGGGAAACACTGTCCTTGTGGGCGGATGTCCAGATGCCAGATGCCATGGTGGGCAGAGCCAAAACCAAAAGTTGGGAGAGCATCAGATGTAATTGTTACCTTTGGGAAGTAGGCTAGTTTCTGCACACACCCCTCTCTATCTCCCATCCAGGCATTATCAGAATTCAATGCAACCTTTCAGCCAGGCAGAAACACTTAGGAAGGGTGCGAAGCAGATCTAGTCAAGGAGGTGGCCTGGGGAGAGGTTCTGGCATTGGAAATGTCCCAAGGGCCAAGTAAAGAGGTTTCAAGGGCCACATTTGGCCCCCAGACCTGAGGTTCCACACCCCTGAAGTATGCACTGCATGAAGAAGTGTTTTTTTCGGCTTGTCCTGCACCTCCAGCCATTCAGTGTCAGTGGATGATCTCCATGTTCTAGTTTTGTAAGAGAGGAAGCAGGGAGTTAGGACTGAGGTGGTTTTCAAACTTGTATGGTAGAGCCGTCTCTTGAACAATCATACCAAAATTCCTGTAGCTCAGTTTGGTGCCCTCCAGAGTTGTTTTGGACTACTACTCCCATCAGCCCCAGCCAGCATGGCCAATGATCAGAAATGGCTGAAATGGTAGTCCAAACCATCTGGAGGGCATCCGGCTGGTAAAGGCTGCTGTTGGTGGATATTTCAAAGAAATATCGTGGTACTTGTTAAGTTGTGGGTGAACATATCAGACGACACAGCGATTCTTCAAACAGCTCTTGTTTATTCACAGGCCAGGACAGAACTGAACTGAAGGGTTCAGCCAGCCTGCTTATATAGAGCTCCAGTACAATGTTACTGTAACAACTTTCTAAAACTATCCAATCACTGAACGTCACTTTCGATCCCTTATTTGCATAACCATCTACAGTATCCCCCTGTTGGCCCAGGGTGAGAACTTCAGTACATAACAGTACTGATAAACAGAGAATGCCAAGCAGCAGTGGCGTAGCGTGGGGGGTGCAGGGGGGGCCGGCCGCACCGGGCGCAACATCTGGGGTTAGGGCAAATCCATTGGTTAGGGGGCGCAAATCCACGGGTTAGGGGGCGCAAATCCACGGGTTAGGGGACACAAATTACTTGCCTTGCCCCGGGTGCTGACAACCCACGCTACGCCACTGCCAAGCAGGCAAGTTAAACCATGTTAAGTGACCTGAACTTTCACAATACCAGAGTCTCACCCTAACTGTGGCCAGAGTCAATAGCAGCATTGATCTCATTTGGGTGGAGGAGTGCTTACTTTGCAGAAGTTTGAGGGGAGCAACCAGGAAAGGCTTGCAGGAAACCTGACTTTTACAATGAATGAATGGATTTCTTTATCATTGTCACAGGCCAGAAATTGACTTTTATGACATGCCCTTCCATGTTCCCAGGTCATATGGTACAGATAAACCAGCAAAGCACAACAGGCCGGGAAAATAATCAATAACCTTGGACTTCTGTACATGTTTATCCTGTTGCTCATTAGGTTATGGTCCAAATAGCATTCTCTCTGTCGGGAGAAGGTGAAGCAAAGAGGCAGAGAGACGTCGCTGAAGCAAAAGGCTGCCTTGTGCAGGAGAAGAATTAGCTAGGATTGCAAGCCCAGATTTCCCTTGGTGAGTTGGGCCTCGGATTTTTAAAAATAAATGTTATTATTTAAAGTCTTTGTTCACAGTTTAGCAAAGGTGGACAGATGTGGCCAACCTGAGTAGCCATTTAGGGCCAGCTGTTTGGAAAGCAAGGGGTCACCCAAGTTAGGTGTTGGGTTGTTGTTGGTTTGGGGTGGGGGATAGTCTGCAAAATGTCATTGGTGCAATAATAGTGTATTAGTTAAAGAATTATATTGGACTATCCAAACATCATTCCACTTTATTAGTTGTTCTGCAGTGCTTTCCCAAACATGATTGCTTTATTGCTGCCTGGAGGAGCCCTTTCGTTATGAAAACGGGACAACTCTGGAACATTTGCGGCATGAAAAGTTGCAGGGTTTCAGCAGGGTTACGGGGCACACACTGGTTGGAAGGGCAGCTGTAAGTCTACCCCACAGCGCTTGCTGCATTGAAAACATGATGGTACAGCCCTCTTACTACCATCATCATCATCATCATCATCATCATCATTTATTATTTGTACCCTAGCCATCTGTCTCCCCAGCCACTCTGGGCGGCTTCCAACAAAGATTAAAAATACATTAAAATGTCACACGTTAAAAACTTCCTTGAACAGGACTGCCTTCAGGTATCTTCTAAATAATAATAATAATTCATTGATCACAAATAGTCCTGAAAGTGCAATAAGAAGGGGGCTTGCAAGGGCTCTTCATCTCACCAAAGGGAACTTCCCTCTCTCCTCTCCCCAGGCCAGCATGTTACGTTCGGCGGCTCTGCTTCTCCTCTTCGTGGTCTTCCGGCTGTTCCTGGGGTTGCCATGGATCCAGGTGGTCCCAGCTCTCTTAATATTCTACTTGGGATCTGGAGGATGGACTTTCCTTCGCATCGTCATCATGACAGCCAGACGGGATGTTTCGTAAGTTTTGCAAACTGGTGGACCTCCCCCTCTGAGCCTCCTTCGCGTGGCTTCATCTGATTTATATGTTTCTTGCTAACATGCCTTTTACAGCAATCATTCTGATGTAGCCGTAGGTCCAGAGTTTATGTGGGTTTCTCAGAAGCGCATGAGAAATGCAAGCTTTGGCACTAGCTGCAGCACTCGGGATCTTGAAGCAAAGGGTATGGGCTGGTTACAGGGAGGGGCCATTGCCTCCCTGTACACAATGCTTCATTTTCGGAAGGGCCCAGTTTTTATCCCTGGTACAGTGGCACCTTGGGTTACATACGCTTCAGGTTACAGATTCCGCTAACCCAGAAATAGTACCTCAGGTTAAGAACTTTGCTTCAGGATGAGAACAGAAATCGCTCAGCGGCGGCGTGGCAGCAGCGGGAGGCCCCATTAGCTAAAGTGGTGCTTCAGGTTAAGAACAGTTTCAGGTTAAGAACGGACCTCTGGAACGAATTAAGTACATAACCAGAGGTACCACTGTATATCCAGTTGGAAGAACCAGCAGGAAGTAATGGGGGCCCTGGAAAGCCACTGCCCGTCAGAACAGATTAGGGGGATCCAGCCTGGTGCCATGAAGATGCACTTGGACTGCAGTTCCCATCAGCCCCATCCAGCATGACCAGTGGTCAGGGCCCTGGGACAGATAATACAGGGTTAGATGAACACACAGCCACACAGCCTGTTAAGAGGGGTGCTTCCTACTTTAAATGTGTGGTCGCAACAAAAACAGGCAACTGCTCAGCGAATTCTGCTCCCTCTTCGTGGTGTCCCAGGGCAACTTGCCTGTGTCTGAATGTCCCAGGCTTGTGCCTTTCCCTGCTCTCTGCCGTGCCATCAGCAGCTGCTTATGTAGGGCCCTCCAGATGTTGTGGGGCTTCAGCTCCTATAATCTCCAGCCATTCACCATTGGCTGAGGTTGGTACGAGTTGAAGTCAAACAGCATCTAGAGGGCACCTGGTTAGGGAAGGCTGGTGAAGTCCAGGGGTCAGCAGACTTTTTCAGCAGGGGGCCAGTCCACTATTCCCTCAGACCTTGGGGGGGGGCAGACTATATATATATTTTGGGGGTGGGAAATGAACAAATTCCCATGCCCCACAAATAACCCAGAGATTCATTTTAAATAAAAGCACACGTTCTACTAATATAAAAACACACTGATTCCCGGACCATCCACAGGCCGGATTTAGAAGGCAATTGGGCCGGATCTGGCCCCTGGGCCTTAGTTTGCCTACCCATAATCCACACTGATGGGCCAATACACCCTTTGGAAGTAAGCTTCTCACACCTCTCCTTGGAGCAGCAGAAGCAGTGGTGTCAGGGAGAGCGAGCTAGTGGAAGAGGTTTTCCCAACACTGGTGAAACTGATAAGGCTCTCCAAGGTGTTTTCAGATTCACTAAAAAGCAGAGACCTGTGTCACTTTCACAGAGAGCCTAGAAGGAACTGAAAAGGCTTTCTTTCATTCAAATGTGCCCACTGATGTGTTTTGGGGGGGGAATTATTAAGATCCATGAGGATCTATGCCTTGGATCAATACTTTTGTGCTACTGGCAAGCACCAGATCTGTGATTATTTTTCTGTGCAGCCTACCAATGTAAGCCTTATTTGATGGTAGTTTATTTGATGGGACCCAAAGCAAAAAGATGACAATTCAAGAGACTCCATTGTTTTAATCTTCTGTATGTAACTTTTACGCAGACCCCGTGGAAAGACTGTATGTGTGTGCATTCATGTGCGTGTGCCCTTCTTCTGTTTGTGCTGGGGCCAGGGATTGACCAAAGGGCAGGGGCAGTGTCCACAGCACTCTCAGAATTCCAAAAGTTCCCACAGGCCCCCCAAAATTGGCAGCCCTGGTGTAATGTGAGGAACGATGTTGAAAGAGTCTCTGCTTGGAATAAAATGTTGCTGCTCATTTGTGATAACATTGCTAAATCTCCTTTGAAGTACTGTTCCATGCCAGACTGCACTTTGGACTTCAGACGTGCCTAAGAAATTACAAACAGCCAAGCTTTCTAGTCTATGACTTTGCCTGGTCTGATGCCAAGAAACTGCCTTTGTTCAGGCAAAACTGGTTTTTGAAGGGAACACACACACACACACACACACACACACACAGAGGATAATCAAGCATGGCTCCTTTCAGGGTGTGTCAGTGTTGCAATCACCTCTCACCATCCCTGGTCTAAGAAACCCTACAAGAGAGGAGGAAAGGTCCTTGAAACTCAATAAGAGAAATCCTCCTTTTTGTTAGATGAACATAAGAACATCAGAAGGGCCTGCTGGATCAGACCAGTGGCCCTTCAAGTACAGCATCCTGTTCTCACAGGCAGTGGGCAACCAGATATCTGTGGGAGACCTGCAAGCACAAGAGCATTCTTCCTTCCTGAGGTTTCCTTGACAGATGGTCATCCAGCCTCTCCTCAAATATCTCCATGAAAGGAGAGCTCACCACTTTCCAAGATAGACATTTCCACAGCCAAACAGCCCTTGTGTCAACAAGTTTCTCCTAAAGTTTAACCAGAATCTGCTCCCTGCCATTTCCACCACAGGGTTCTTCTATTCCTATCCTCTGAAGTAACACAGAGTGTGTCTCCTCTGTAATTTGCAGGATAGCCTTCAGGTATTATAAGATGGCTATCATGTCTCCACTGCGTATTTTCTTCTCTGGGCTAAACATTCCCAGCTTTTTCAACAGTAGGGCTTAGTTTCCAGACACCTCACCAACTTGGTTGCTCGCCTGTGGGCACACTCCAGTTTATCAATGTCCTTCTTAAAATGTGGCATCCAAAGCTAGATGCAGAACTGCAGATACAGTCTTCTAGTGCTGGTGTTATATTAGGGGTCCCACTCAACAGATCCTTGCTTAGAGCCAGGGTAGGGTAATTGTTAGAATGTTGGAATTTGACCTGGGAGACCAGGGTTCAAATCCCCAATCAGCAATAAAACTCATTGCGTATCCTTGGGCCACCCACTGCCCCTCAGGCTAAACTACCTCACAGGTTTGTTGAGAAGATAAAAATGGGAAGCTGAGAACCATGCACACCACCTTGAGCTCCTTGAAGGAAAAGGTGGTATACAAATATAGGTAAAGGTAAAGGGACCCCTGACCATTAGGTCCAGTTGTGGCCAGCTCTGGGGTTGCGGCGCTCATCTCACTTTATTGGCCAAGGGAGCCGGCGTACAGCTTCCGGGTCATGTGGCCAGCATGACAAAGCCGCTTCTGGCGAACTAGAGTAGCGCATGGAAACACTGTTTATCTTCCTGCCAAAGCTGTACCTATTTATCTACCTGCACTTTGACGTGCTTTCGAACTGCTAGGTTGGCAGGAGCAGGGACTGAGCGACAGGAGTTCACCCCGTCGCGGGGATTTGAACCGCCAACCTTCTGATCGGCAAGTCTTAGGCTCTGTGGTTTAACCCACAGCGCCACCCACGTCCCTGGTATACAAATATAATTTAATAAAAATACAAGCAGGCTGGCTTCATAGTATTGGCAGGCAGCTAGGGAGATAGAGTTCAATTTGCCAGTGGGTAGCACTAATATATTAACGGCAAGGGACCTTAGTTCTGTGACAGAGCATCTGCTTTGCAAGCGGAATGTCCCAGGTTCAGTCCCTGATGGCATTTCCACATAGGCCTGGCAGAGATCCCTGCCTGAAATCTTGAAGAGCCACTGCCGGTCTGTGTAGACAATACTGAACTAGGTGGGCCAATATTTTGACTTGTGCTAGCAGCTTCCTGTGTTCCTGTTTAGGGAGGGCTGTAGCTCAGCAGTGGAGCACCTGGTTTGTATGTGGAAGGTCCCAGGTTCAGTCCCCTGTGCCATCACCATGTCGCAGGTGATGAGAGAGCCCCCACCCCCAGCCCTGGAGCTCGGCTGGATGTTGTCATCTGATATAAGGCATCTTTCCTGTGCCTATAGTTAGCCCCATGTGAAAATTCTGTGACTGAGTGCTGAGGAGGCAGAGGGCTGGGTGTGTAGGTGAGGCTTTGCAATAAGGGCGAGTTTAGGAGGGGTTCTGAGCCTGGGATGCTTGCGAAACCCTCTTCCATGGAACATATCCTTGTCCTTGTTCAGCTGAACACACCTACAGGCTTGAGGGAGATGCAGCGGCATTAGATTGCCATACTATTAAGAGTGTTTCAATGAAGACGAGTGGGTGGGTGGTTCCTCTCCATTCCCTTGGGATGAGCTGGCCAACTGGAATCATGGCATCTCTGCCCTGGCCAGGCCCTACCTGGAGTCCTGTGTCCAGCTCTGGGCACCACAGTTGAAGAAGGATATTGACAAGCTGGAAGGTGTGCAGAGGACGGCAAACAAGATTACAGTGGTACCTCGGGTTAAGAACTTAATTCGTTCTGAAGGTACGTTCTTAACCTGAAACCGTTCTTAGCCTGAGGTGCCACTTTAGCTAATGGGGCCTGCCGCTGTGCCATGCCGACACAATTTCTGTTCTCATCCTGAAGCAAAGTTCTTAACACAAGGTACTATTTCTGGGTTAGCGGAGTTTGTAACCTGAAGCATCTGTAACCTGAAGCGTCTGTAATATGAGGTTCCACTGTATTGATAAAGGGCTTGAAAACCTAGCCTTATGAGGAGTGGTTGAGGGAGGTGGGTATGTTTAGGTTGGAGGAGCCTGAGAGGAGATATGAGAGCCATCTTCAAATATCTGAAAGGCTGCTTTTTGCTGCTCCAGAGGCTAGGGCCCAAACCAATGAATTTCAATTACAAGGAAGGAGAACTTTCTGAGGGTGAGAGCCATTCAATAGTGGAACAGACTCCCTCAGAAGGTGATGGACTCTCTTTCATTGTATATTTTATAAAGCGTAGGTTGGATGGCCACCTGTCAGGGATTCTTTAGCTATGAATCCCATCCAACTCTACACCTCTATGATTCTGTCTCCTGGAGGAAACCTTACTTGTGCCTTCTTCTCCTTTCCAGGACTGGATACGTTGTCCTCTTGACTCGGTTGAAGGTTTGGTGGTACGTGAAGCACAAGTACACAGTCCCAAAGCTCTTCCAGCAGGCAGCACGCAAGAATCCAGGAAAAGCAGCCCTGATTTTCCAGGGGACAGGCGAGACGTGGACTTTCCAAGACCTGGATAACTATTCCAACCAGGTGGCCAACTTCCTGTATGAAAGAGGCTTCCGCTCTGGGGATGTCATCGCCCTGTTCATGGAATCCCGCAACCAGTATGTTGGTCTCTGGCTCGGCATGGCCAAGATCGGTGTGGAGGCTGCCCTCCTCAACTCTCACGTGCGGCAGGAGTCGCTCCTTCACTGCATCAACATCTCGCACTCAAAGGCCGTCGTGTTTGGAAGCGAGTTGGCTGATGGTGAGAGGAGGTGGGAGGGAATCCAGGGGTAGAAGCAGAGCAGAAAGCAGGCAGAAGAGCAGGTGTATTTATTTGAAAAAGAGACTAAGGGACCTACGCCCTTCCAGCTTTTGTTGGACTCCAACACCCATCAGCCCCAGGCCAGCATGACCAGTGTTCGGGGATAATGGAGTCCAGCTCCTCTATTTCTGGTTCATGTCAAAGCCACATGTGTCTATTCATAAGCCCATTCTTTCCCGTTTCTGCATTAATCTTAGATATATATTTTTAAAGAGTCTGCACAGAAATATGCATTCTGTATTGACATACACATTTCTAAACATAGCTATACAACCCACCAGTCATTTATTATATGGTCAGAAACCTGCTAAAGCAGAGCCCATAAAGAACAGATGAGGATTCAAACATATGATTGCACATATTTAAAATACTCTTTGATGCACTTATTTGTCCTAAAATATTCACACTGCACATTTTTTTGAGCCAAGACCTCCAGATGTTGCTGGACTCATGCCTTCCATCAGCAACGACTGGAGGGCCACAGTTTCCCCATCCCTGGTGTAGAATATGAACCACTGTGAAGACCTGCAGCTGTAGATGCATGGGCCACTGTGGCAGAGAAGGTGTGTTCTCTGTGCTTTTGCTTCTAACACCTGTTTCTCCCTTTCTAGCCTTGCGGGAAGTACAGCCTTCTCTTGGGAAGTCCATTCACCTCTTCTGTTCTGGCGACTGGAAAGCGGAAAGCATACTGCCAGGCTCAGAACATCTGGACCCTTTGATTGAAAAAGCATCTCGCCAGTCACCAACTCCCCCAGACAAGGGATTCCTAGGTAGGCACAGGCAGTGGGTAGGAACCATTTCTCATTGCATGTTTCTGTGAAACTGCTACTGCCTTTTCATTCTCTTTTACCTACTCTTTTGCCTTAACAGGCAGCCCTGTTTAGGGAAGTTTTTAATGTTTAATGCTGTATTGTGTTTTTAATATTCGATTGGGAGCCACCCAGAGTAGCTGGGGAAACCCAGCCAGACGGGTGGGGTATAAGTAAAAATAATAAAGTATTATTATTATTATTATTATTATTATTACTACTACTACTACCACCACTATTACTATTATTACATTACTCAGGAGCTAACTGTGAAAAAGAAAGACCAAACCCCAAGTCACTGCTGCAGGATGTGTCTGAAGTCACATGCGTGTTCTGCAATGTATATTCATACGAACACACCAACAAGAAGTTTGGAATATTTTGCTAGAGTTATGGCATTTCTCCATTCATGAATATATGCTTGTCTCTATTCTTGCCTGAATAAAACTCCTGACACCCGATAATTTTATTCTGGACAAGCTATCCTAAAGACCAGACGGGCAGCCCAGTAATTCTTAGAGGCAAACAGCTTTACATTAGGATTCTTGAGGGACACATTAACAAAGAAAGCTTGGTTTATTATATGAAATGAAAATGACGGAATGCATGAATTCTGTTTCAGACAGTAAAATTACAATTTAAGCAGGCAGCAAATCCTACCATACACCAACACCTAAAGAGTGGAAGAATCTCTTTTTGTTGTTGTTTGGTCGTTCAGTCGTGTCTGACTCTTCGTGACCCCCTGGACCAGAGCACGCCAGGCACTCCTGTTTTCCACTGCCTCAAAAGCCTACAGAAGTGAGCACGGCAATTTTGCTAGCAGGGCTTACACTAGTAACATAAGCAGCTAGATTTATTGTGCTTTTAAATTTACCCCAGGATTTCCTGCCTACATCTCACCTCCCCATCTTGCAAAAACGTGTCTGAATAAAAATCACCCTAGTGAGTTGTGACTGAACTGGCTATCTTTTGTCTGCTCCCTGCCTTTCCATTACCAGCAGTTTGAGCAGACTTTGCTGGCAGCTTGATTTACATGTGTTGACCTTTACAAGGTGTGAGGAACTCGGGATATGCCTGAATGGCTTCGGGTCACTTTTTGAATTGAGACTAGTATCAGGCTTATACTGAGGTCAAGCAAGGTTCATGATGGAGAATCTCATGCCATATTTAAGTTAGTATGTCAGCCTTTATACTTGTGCTGTGATCTACAGAGATAAACCATATAATAAGTTCAGATTTTCACACACACAGCTGTTCACATCAGTGTTCAGTTTAAGTCGGCACAGCAAAACAGCTTGTTATTCATATGGGGAAACCCAACCAGACGGGAGGGGTATAAATAAATAAATTATTATTATTATTATTATTATTATTATTATTATTATTAGGGTTGGTGAAGCATCTGTTTTGCATGTAGATAATCCCAGGTTTCATCTCTCATCACTTCCAGGCAGGGCTGGAGAAGGTAGTACTGAGTTGGATGGACCAATGTTTTGCAAATTTATAAACTACTTCACAGCAGTTTATTTCATGAATGACTGTGTCACAACTCAGGGAAAGACTTCTTAAACAGAAGCATCTTCAGTAGGCAGGCACCTAAAGATCATAACATTGAGTGCCTGTCTAATTTTGGCTGGCAATTAGGCTCTTTAAAAACAGGGCTGGGGAACCTGCAGCCTGCGAATTTCATGTGGGTGGTGAGGAGAAGCAAATGGGGGGAAAGGAGGGTGGCAGAAATACAGTAAAGGGGTGCTCTGCCCACCTTATGGCTGGCCTGCCCACCACTGACACCAGTCCTGCCCAAAGCTGGCCTGCGGCCCCTGGCAGACCATCCCCAAGGGAATGTGGCCTCTGTCAGGAAAAAGGGTTCCCTGCCACAGAATAAAGCCAGGTGCTGGCACTGAAGTTCTGCTTTTTCACGGGACACCAATGCCACTAGATAGCAAAGCTGACCCTGAAGTTTTCAACATCCTTTTGCCTTGCAGATAGATTGTTCTACATCTACACTTCAGGCACAACGGGGCTGCCCAAAGCTGCAATCATTGTCCATTGCAGGTGAGCAAAATCATAAGGGATCGCTCTGTGTGGTGGGGGTGAGGAGACTCCCAGTCAATTCTTTAGTATAAACCCAAATCCAGAACAACAGGTTGAAAGCATAGAAGCCCCATACTGTGCATATTTACTCAGAAGTAAGCTTAGGGTACAGGGACGCGGGTGGCACTGTGGGTAAAACCTCAGCGCCTAGGACCTGCCGATAGCATGGTCGGCGGTTCGAATCCCCGCGGCGGGGTGAGCTCCCGTCGTTCGGTCCCAGCTCCTGCCCACCTAGCAGTTCGAAAGCACCCTTAAGTGCAAGTAGATAAATAGGTACCGCTTTATAGCAGGAAGGTAAACGGTGTTTCCGTGTGCTGCGCTGGTGCCGGTTTGCCAGAGCAGCTTCGTCACACTGGCCACGTGACCCGGAAGTGTCTCCGGACAGCGCTGGCTCCCGGCCTCTAGAGTGAGATGAGCGCACAACCCTAGAGTTGGACACGACTGGCCCGTACGGGCAGGGGTACCTTTACCTTTACCTTTAAGCTTAGGGTGCACACGGGCAGGCTGTGTGGTACCCATACCTCACGGTCCTACCCCCCCCAAAACTCCTGAAACCTGAGGCAATTCAAAGTAGCTATCCTATTTCCTCTTCTCCAGGCTAAACATACTCAACTCCCTTAGCTGTTCCTCATAAGGCTTGGTTTCCAGACAAATACTGATCTCTCTCTCTCTCTGGTCTCCCAATCCAGGTATTTCCGGATGGCAGCCCTGGTTTTCAACGGCTTCCGCATGCGACAGGACGATGTGGTCTATGACTGCCTCCCCTTATACCATGCAGCAGGTAACACCATCACCTTTAACCTTTCGGTCTTTTCCAGACTTACCTTTGATCCATCTGCTTCACTTTTATGATGGCTATATTGTTGGTGAACCATGAACAAAACGTCCAACTGAAATGAAGGGAATTTATAGAAAGACAGGATGCTGCATTACGCCGAGTCAAACTGTTGGTCCATCAAGAGCAGCAACAGCAGCATTTCAGACAAGAGCCTTTGCCGGCCCCACCCAAAGGTGCTAGGACTTGATCTTGGGACCTTCTGCATTCAGAATCTGTGTCCTACCCACCATTCTGTACACTTGTTATTATTTAGAGGAAGGAAGTTCCAGGGTTCTGGAGGGACCCACTGAACATGATTCTCTACGTGCCATGCCCAGGTGATTTCTCCCACCCAGGCACTGACTTGGCAAGCTGGATTCTTCCCTTCCCAGGACCATGCCCTGGGGTCTTGTGGAGATTGGGTCTGAGCCAAACCGAGAACAGCAAAGTCTTGCTTCTCATAAGCTGGCCAGTCACCATTTTTAGTTCCAGATTTCCTGCTGGCTAAAATGGGTTTCCCTCTCACTCTTCCCTTCTAGGTAACATTGTTGGGGTTGGCCAATGCGTCCTGCATGGGATGACGGTCGTGATCAGGAAGAAATTCTCAGCTTCTAACTTCTGGGAAGACTGTGTGAAATACAACTGTACGGTGAGGCAGGGCTGAGACCACGGCTGTGCGGGTGGGGCAAAGAGGAGATCCATAGTATAGTAGAGTTGGAAGGGACACCCAAAGTTCCTACCCCCTTGCAATGCAGGTTTCACAACTAAAGAATGCCTGGAAGATGGTCTTCCAACCTCCTCCTCCTCCTCCTCATCATCATCATAAACATCATAAAAATGCATGTGTGTGTATTTTTATATAACAAACAACAAAACACCAGACAAAGCAACAAATTCCTCCCAAAGGCAAACACATAGCAGCACATTTCCAAAGCATCTTAAGAGTCAGGGGATTGGCTCAGTAGCTGGAACACCAAGAACCTGTAAGGTGGATGTCGAGTTGGAGATTTTTTCATCTCATGCAGACAAAGAATGCCAAGGCTGGAAGGTGGCAGCACGAGAACAGGGCCCTTTCTATGGTGGCTTCCTATTTGTGGAACACTCTCCCCAAGAGGCTCTCCAGGCACCTTCGTTACATATCTATAGGCTCCAGATGAAAATATTGCTCTTAAGCTAGGCTCTCTGCTGATTAAATGATCTATGGGCTTTTAAGGGGTTGCCTTCTCTAAGCCTTATTTCGAGAGCCGAATGCATTCCATTTAACACCCTATGCCTAAAAAGGTGGGAGAGACATGAACTAAAACGTTAACTCTTTGAGAGGAGGGACAGGGTACAGATTTGTCAGGGGCCCACGTGAGAATCAAGGCTATCATTTCAAAGGTAGAAGACTGCATAGCTGCCACATGTAGGTCACCTCATGCCATTCATCTCATTTTGTCCCTGACTACTTCTTTCTTCTGCTGCTGCCATCAGATCGTACAGTACATTGGGGAGATATGTCGGTACCTGTTGAACCAGCCATCTCAAGAGGTGGAGAGGAAACATCGGGTCCGGATGGCTTTGGGCAATGGCCTGCGGGCTTCCATCTGGAAGGAGTTCACTGAGCGCTTTGGCATCCCCCAGATAGCCGAGTTTTACGGAGCCACCGAGTGCAACTGCAGTGTGGGCAACTTTGACAACAAGGTAAGGGCTGCCTTCTTGCTGAAGGCCTTGCTTGGTGTTTGCCCAGAGTGCCTGAGCCCTGGCTTTTGGCCCTGGGCCCCAGACCTCCTGCCCTTCATCCCTTTGCTTCCGTGGTGACCTCCAAAATTTTCTCCTCTGCAGCTGGGGGCTTGTGGCTTCAATAGCAGGATCCTTCCCAACATTTACCCCATCAACCTAGTCCGAGTGAATGAGGAAACTATGGAGCTGATCCGGGGACCTGACGGGCTCTGTATACGGTGCAAACCAGGTGAGGCTGGATGGGTGGAAAGCAGCTGGGTAATCCTTGAATGAGAATAGGAGGGAGAGAACAGCAGGGCTGGGGCACTGTGTTCCTGACTTCCATGTTGTAGTGTAGTGTTCCCAAAGCAAGGAAGCATTGGACTCTGGTTAATAGAATACACACAAGGCTTGACCAGCAAGACTCTGGGAGGAGGTGCCAGTAATAATCCTCTCCACCCTTCGACCCAGGTCGTTTTATTTACAAAAGAACTTTTTACACAGTGTTCGTAAGAACCAATCAGATTTCCTCTGAGCTTTTCAAAAAACCCCATGTGGGACAAAGTCAGATCAGAAGAAATTCTTTTGACAACAAAGAAACTATTTCCTACTTGAGCATGCATACGTAATTCAGAGTAAATAAAATAGTAAGCCAGGAGGAATGCTTTTAGCAAAACCCCGGAGGTCATAAACAGGAATATTATTATGGCTGGGGAGGGTGGGGTATAAATAAAATTTATTATTATTATTATTGTTAATTATTATTATTAATTGAAGACTAGTGTGGAAATGTAGAGAACTGAACTTCTCTGGAAAAAAATAGAAACTGAGAAAAGCCCATCTTTAGGTCACAGTAGACCAGGGGTCAGCAACCTTTTTCAGCTGTGGGCCAGTCCACTGTCCCTCAGACCATGTGGGGGGCCGGACTATATTTTTTTTGGGGGGGGAATGAAGGAATTCCTATGCCCCACAAATAACCTAGAGATGCATTTTAAATAAAAGGACACATTCTACTCATGTAAAAACACGGTGATTCCCGGACCATCCAGAGGCCGGATTGAGAAGGCGATTGGGCCACATCCGGCCCCTGGGCCTTAGGTTGCCTACCCTTGCAGTAGACCCTCCAAGTGTCCCTATTTTCCAGGAACATTTTCATTGGTAAATGAATCCCTGAGCCATCTGAAGGAAATCCTGTGTAGGGAAGTTATTTTCTTAATGTTTAATGTTTTGTTATGTTTTTATATATGTTGGAAGTTGCCCAGAGTGGCTGGGGCAACCCAGGAACATGTGTGGGGTATAAATAGTAAAATTATCATTATGGAATGGAATGTCCCTATTTTCATTGGAGAAATGTCTCAGGGGGTTTTGATGAGTGGAGGTGGCAGGTGATTCATCCCTGAAGTGGAGCACATCAACTTTTGGACTACTGTGGGTTCCTGCAGGTCTTTAGATGGAGCAGTGGCCCCCAGGAGCTAGGACAAGACCGAGGACAGATGGGACCCTGTCAGAGAGACAGAGATCTGTCCTCCTCTGTCCATTGTCCTCTTTCTGGGCTGATGACCATGATTCTTAAGCTACAGCCAACTCAAGCTCTCCCCTAAGAGAGAGAGCACCTTGAATGACACTTCACTTAAAATTCCTGGGATTCAGGGGCCTGGTTCACACACAATTAAGCTAAGCCTAAGTTTAGTGTTGCAGTATGAGTGACAGCATGGCCACAAAGAGAAGACTGGAAGCTTCTGTTTCTATTTGAGATTAACCACAGTTTAGTGTTACAGTGGTACCTCTGGTTGTGAATGGGATCCGTTCCGGAGGCCCGTTCTCAACATGAGCAGAACGCAACCCGCATCTGCCATCTGTGTGTGCCGCGATTTGCCGCTTCTGTGCATGCGCGTGATGGCATTTTGCACGTCTGCGCATGCGCGAGCAACGAAACCCGGAAGTAACCCTTTCCGGTACTTCTGGGTTGCCGCAGGACGCAACCTGAAAACGCTCAACCTGAAGCAAACGTAACATGAGATATGACTGTATATCCACTAATCCTAGCAATGGCCTTCTGAAAAGCAGCCAGCTTCATAAATGTTACCGTCTTATACTTTTCTGTGTATAATGACAAGACTGTAAATTACTGTAAAATAAAGTTTAAAAACGGGGCTCGTCTTATACACGGATAGTGTGGGGGTGACAACGATGGTGATTGGTTGCATCTGCGAGCCGGAGCTTGTCAGTGGCGATTTTGTTGGTGATTGGTGGCTGCGTCAAGTGCTGCTTTCGATTGGCTGCTGCTGCGGAAATTGGGTGGGTGATTGGTTGCTGCGACAAGGATTGTTTAGGATTGGCTGCAGCTTCAGCAAGCGGGCATGCGATTGCTGCCTGCTGTTTGTGAGCAGGCAGGCGCAAGAGCTCAACGACTTTGGGCAATCTCCCCCGTTTTCTTAAATTTGTGTCCCCAAAAATAGGAGGCATCTTATACACAGAGGCGTGTTATACACAGGAAAATACGGTACAGTCATACTTCATGTTACGTTTGCTTCATGTTACGTTCCTTCAGGTTACACCCTGCAGCGACCCGGAAGTACCGGAAAGGGTTACTTCCGGGTTTCGCCACTCGCGCATGCGCAGAAGCGCTAAATCATGCCACGCACCTGCGCAGATACAGCGCTTCTGGTTGCACTCTTTTCATGTTACAAACAGGCCTCTGGAACGGATCCCGTTCTCAACCAGAGGTACCACTGTATATAGACATACAATTTAGTCTGAAGTTTGTCGCTGTGGGTTAAACCACAGAGCCTAGGACTTGCCGATCAGAAGGTTGGTGGTTTGAATCCCCGCGATGGGGTGAGCTTCCGTTGTTCGGTCCCTGCTCCTGCTAACCTAGCAGTTCGAAAGCACGTCAAAGTGCAAGTAGATCAATAGGTACCGCTCCGGCGGGAAGGTAAATGGCGTTTCAGTGCGCTGCTCTGGTTCGCCAGAAGTGGCTTAGTCATGCTGGCCACATGACCCGGAAGCTGTATGCCGGCTCCCTTGGCCAATAAAGCAAAATGAGCGCCGCAACCCCAGAGTCATCTGCGACTGGACCTAATGGCCAGGAGTCCCTTTACCTTTGTCCACCTTTACACTAGAGGGCACTCTAGCACCACACAGGAAGAGGGAAACCTGTTTTTCCCCTGCCACATTAGCTCTTGAGTGCCTTGTGGTTAGCCAGGCACTGATAAACTTTATAAATGAAGATCCTACAATCTAGGCACTAGATTCTTTCTGGGGAACAATGAGTGATTATCAGCAAAGTACTTTTATCCTTAAGCAGCTGAAACTTTAACAGCTTTAAGGCTGTTTTAATCCGCCATGATTTTATGTCTTAATTCTGAGTGAACATACAGAGGATTTTGCTGTTAGTTGAGTCATCCACTCATCAACTGATCTAATTCAAAGCTTGGAAATCCTTTTAAAGAAAGATGTTTCCAGCACTTCTGATGACTGTGTGTTTGCGTTTGTGTATGAGCACACATGCCCAGTACAGATCTTCGTGGCTCTAATCGAAATAATGTTCTGTAGCCAGATAGGTTGTCCCTCTCTTCCCAGCTCCCAATGTGGTGATGGAATCATTTTAATTTGGACCAAAGTATGAGGGAAAGGATCAAATACAGCCTCTTCCCCTTTCATAGAATCATAGAATTGTAGAGTTGGAAGGGAGAACAAGGGTCATCTAGTCCAACCCCCCCCACCATGCAGTAATCTTTTTGCCCAATCTTAACCCTGAGATTAAGAGTCTCATGCTTTACTCACTGAACTATGCCATGGTCTTTTATTTTTGCTACATTTCCAGTTATGATTGCCTCCTTAATGCAATTTAGGGGTGGGGGGGAGAGAAAATAAATGGATATTAAAGCAGCACTATGCTACAGTGGTGCCCTGCAAGACAAATGCCTCGCAAGACGGAAAACCCGCAAGACGAAAGGGTTTTCCGTTTGCGAGTTGCTGCCTTCCCGGGAGAGCGGAGAAACGCAGCATGTTTCTCCGCTGTCCCGGACGGCTTTTGAAGGCAGGCGGGGGGGGGGAGCAAAGACTTTCGCCCCCCACCGGCCTTCAGAAGAGGTCCAGGACCTCTTTTGAAGGCTGGCGGGGGGCAAAAGTCTTTGTCCCCCCTGCCTGCCTTCCCGGGGGCTTTTAAATCGCCCCGGGACAGCGGAGAAGTCCTCCGCTGTCCCGGGGTTTTTTAAAATGCTGGGGGTGGGAAGAAAAGCCCTTGTCTCCCCCCAGCCTTCAGAAGAGGTCGGGGGACAGACTGTCCCCGGACCTGGTCTGAAGGCGGTTTCCATAGGAACGCATTGATTGATTTTCAATGCATTCCTATGGGAAACCGTGCTTTGCAAGACGAAAAACTCGCAAGAAGAAAAAACTTGCGGAACGAATTAATTTCGTCTTGCGAGGCACCACTGTACTTGTAAAGGGAGAGGTTAAACTGATAAGAATTGATTCCTAGAGAGAGGATGCAGACCATAGAGAAGGAAATGGCTAGATTAATCTGCATAAGTCAGGGGTCCCCAAACTAAGGTCTTCGGGCCAGATAAGGCCCGAGGGTCTCGTTCATCTGACCCGCGGCGACCCCCGCCTCCCACTGCCACCACCTGCTCTTACCAGCACTGCACTGCACAGCTGCCCACTTCCAGGTCGGAGGAGCAGCGGAAATAGCTGGTGCTCATGCACAAGCGTTATTTCCGGTGCACATCTGGGTCGGAGGAGGCCCGTGCACATGCGCACAAGCTATTTCCGGTGCTCCTCCAACCTGGAAGTGCGCCGGAAATAGCGTCTGTGTGCACGTATGGGCATGTGCTCCCCTGCCTTCCGGCCCGCCACGCAATTGGCACTGGAGACACCAGCCCGAGGCGTGGTAAGTTTGCTGACCCCTGGCATAAGTCATAGCCATCCCCAAAATCCACTGAACAGCAGTGCAATGGGTCATCAGTGTAGGGCCATAAGAAACCTGTACCTGGGGAAATTGCAGTTCATCAAGTTAAAAAGTAAAAGTGAGCTGTGTGAAGACAGAAGTTGTGCAGGGCAAATATGATGGAGATATTGTGCTCAGAGAGTTTTGCCAAGTGATGTTAATCCTTCACACATGAAAATTTCTGTTAATCTTTAAGGTGAAACAAGACACTTACAGTAGTTGTCCTTATTTTAAATGGAAGGAAAGTCTATTTTTTCATGAGGCCACTACCAGTCGGGAACTGGGCAGTGCATGGATGTATGACTGACTGGGATCTATGGGATCCAGCATGGAAGAAATGTGGGATATGAGAGCTTATTTTGCCTACACTTGCAGCTTAATCATTTCTCCCTGTCATCTCGGTCCAGTGCTTTGGAGTGCAGCTGGAAGATACTGTGGAGCAAAAGAAGGCCAAGTGTCAGGAGGCTCCTGGCCTGTACGTCCAGGTGGAGAGCAATTCTCCTTTTAACTCAGGGAACACATGTGCCCTTTCCCATGACATTGCAGCTCTGCCAAATGCCTCTTCTGCCTCCTCTTGCATTGCTATTATGTGGTGGCCATGTAAGGTGTCCTTCTCTGCCCACAGGAGAGCCAGGCCAGCTGGTTGGGCGCATTGTCCAGAGCGATCCTTTGCAGCGCTTTGATGGCTACTTGAACAATGAGGCCAACAATAAGAAGGTTGCCCGTGATGTCTTCACCAAAGGCGACTGTGCCTATCTCACAGGTGAGGCCCTCCTTCTCCTATATATATCCTGCTGCCTCTGTGCAAAGCTGCCTTCTTCCAGGTAGCAAGACCATTTGCCTGCCTAATACCAACCCATCTGCCTGGACTTACTGGCAGTGACTTCCCAGGGATTCAGGCTGGGGTCTCTTGCAGCCTGCCTGGAGGTGCCAAGGATTGAATCTGGGACCTTCTGCATGCAAAGCAGATGATCTGCCACCAAGCCACATTCTTTTCTACATGGTGCTTAGGGAACAACTTGCACCTTAATATCAGCAAGACAAAGGAGATGGTGTTGGACTTTGGGAGGAATTGCCATTTTAAACCATTGACTTTCCCATTCAGCTGGCCATTGGGGACTCCATTAAGCCTTCCCAACTTGGTGCTTTCCATACATTTTATTTCTTTTAAAGAGCCTGTTGATACCTTATGGATGGTGTTCTTTAGGTTTTATAAGCAACAGCACTCACCTCTGAATATTGGAAATAGAAAGAGTGTTTTTAAAAATTACCTGGAAGTGATTTCCTTGTTCCAACAGTTCCATTGGCTACCAGTCTGCTTCTGGGCACCGTTCAAAGTGCTGGTTATGACCTATAAAGCATTACACGGCTTAGGTCCAGGCTATCTGAAAGACTGTATTCACTCATACGAACCCGCCTGGTTTTTGAGATCTTCTTTTTTGAGAACTTCAAGAGAGGCCCTTCTCTCAGTCCTTCCACCCTCACAGGCATGCCTGGTGGGGACGAGGGAGAGGGCCTTCTCAGTGGTGACTGCTCCCAGACTCTGGAACTCCCTCCCTAGAGAAGCCAGACTGGCTCCCTCCTTGCTGTGCTTCTGCCGGCAAGTGAAGACCTTCCTATTCCAACAGCCCTTTGGGAATTGATGGCTTTTGAGGAAAGGGCTGGTGCTATGTCGTTTTTATTGCTATTGTATGTGTTTCTAAGGCATCTTTTAATACAATTTTATTCCCATTAGGGTCTAGCTACATTTTAACTATTCTCTTTTCTATGTTTTTAGCTTGATCTATTTTATCTGTGTAAGCATGTCTTGAGTCCTGGACTGGGGAAAAGCCAGGATATAAACAATTATTTCTTCTTCTTCTTCTTCTTCTTCTTCTTCTTCTTCTTCTTCTTCTTCTTCTTCTTCTTCTTCTTCTTCTTCATTTGCTAGTTGCAAAGCGACTTACAGCAACCAAATAATAACTGCTGGGTGCTGTAGTGATAAAGGCGTAGGTGGCGAAGGACCACACTTTCATCTTACTGTGAGTTCTTTCTCTCTCTCCCAAACCCCACCCTGCAATGGCTCCCTTTAGGTGATGTTCTGATCATGGACGAGTTGGGCTACATGTTCTTCCGAGACCGCACAGGAGACACTTTCCGCTGGAAGGGCGAGAACGTCTCCACGACGGAGGTGGAGGGGATGCTCAGTCGCATCCTAAACATGACAGATGTCGTGGTTTACGGGGTGGAAGTTCCAGGTAATGGGTGGCAAGCGTTTCTGGGTTCTCCCCCAGTGTTGCCCTTCTCTTTTCCTGCAGGGCGGAAAGTTGATTACTGGTAGTTCACTGGACTGTTTGAGGTAGATCAGCAAGAGTTTCTGACTCCGAACTGTTTAAAATAGCACCGAGTAAAAACTCCACACACTGGTCTTGGAGCTGTGAGGATCCATGCCCAGTTATTCAATGTGGTGTTTTGTTTATCTTTACCAACCCAGGGACAAGGAACACACAGCCTTCCCAGATGCTGTTGGGCTCTCATCATCTCTGACCAACATGGCCAATAGTCAAGGATGATGGGATTTGTAGTCTAACAACATCTGGAGAGCCAGAAGAGTTCCATCCCTCTTCCAAATATTCTGGGCCCAATATACTTCAGGGAATGCCTTCAACCTCATGAATTTCATGGCAATGTCTTTACCCTGGCAAGTGGTAAAATAATTTGTGGATGCATCAAACTCCTGCAGTCACTTGTCAGCTAGAAGATTTAATGCTGTGATATTTTGGCATGATGGAACAACACAGCTTAGGAAAAGGGGGAATGGCGGTGCGGTCCTTGCTCAAGTAGAGGTCTGTGGTCCCTACTTTTAAATTTATTTAGAAGTGCTGGTGCAAAGCTTTAAAGCCCTTCCTAGCCTATGAGCAGACTACCTCAGGGATCACCTCTTCTCCATTTGCTCTGGCTTATAGATCGGCTTCTGAGTCTTCTGCTCTACATCCCATCAACATTTGCGACACAATGGGCAGCTATGAGAGATGGAGCCTTTTCGCTGGTGGTGCTGTAGTTCAGCCCTTATGGTCCCTGGCCTAAAAAGGTCCTGATAGTCACTATGGACACATCCACACCATGCATTTACAGCAGTATCATACCACTTTAAAGAGTTTTGGCTTTCCCCAAAGCTGGGGTGGAACTTTATTTCACCTAGGTCAAAGACCCAGCTTGGCATCCCCAAATGTGCATTGCGCGCGCACACACACACACAGAGGCTGGGAGGTCCAATGGTGCCCCTCTGGAAGCTTCACCCAGGGCAAAAGCCCTGACTAGTCCCCACCCCAACTCCATAGCTGCAAAAATAGCATCCTGGGAACTCCTGAATGTTGTAAAGCAACCCCTATTCCCCTCTGTGGGGAATTTCTAGAGTGCTGTTACCATTGATCCCTCTTCCCAGGGTGCTCTGGGAACTGTAGGAATGTGAAGGGGAATAACAAACCATAGCTTCTAAGATTCTTTGGGAGAAGCCATGACGGTTTAAACTGGTGTGATAGTGCTTTAATTAGATGGTGCAGGTAGTTGTTCAGAGTCATCTTCAAACAGTTGTGGAAAGAACCATTTTGAAGGAGTTGCTGCTATTTAGTGCCCAGTATTGGAAGGTTGGCGGTTCTAACCCTGCTCCTGTTGTTCGGTCCCTGCTCCTGCCCACCTAGCAGTTTGAAAGCACGTCAAAGTGCAACTGGGTAAATAGGTACCGCTCCGGCGGAAAGGTAAACGGTGTTTCCGTGCACTGGTTTGGTTCACTAGAAGTGGCTTAGTCATGCTGGCCACATGACCCGGAAGCTGTCTGCTGACAAACGCCGGCTCCCTCGGCCTATAGAGCAATCTTTTAATGTCTGGTGCGTTACTGTATTTTAATATTTTGTTGGAAACTGCCCAGAGTGGCTGGAGAAGCCCAGCCAGATGGGCGGGGTATAAATAATTTATTATTATTATTATTACTATTACTATTATCTCTATGAGAGCAGCTCTAGAAACCTCAGAGTGTGTTTTTTGTGTTCTAGGAACTGAAGGGAAGGCTGGGATGGCAGCAGTTGTGGATCCAGACCAGTCCTGTGACTTGGAGAGCTTTGCTGAGGATATGAAGAAGGCGCTGCCTGCTTATGCCCGACCTGTTTTCCTGCGTCTGCTTTCGGAAGTGCACAAGACAAGTGAGTCTCCTTGACAGAGATACATAAGACGCTTTAATCTGATTGTGAAACATGGAGTTTTTCTTGGAATGTTTTTCAGAAGCCACATTTTAAAAGTAGCCCATAGATCAAGACCATAAGGGGAGGGAAACAGACTGAGTCCAAACCAAAGGCCAGGCGGAACAGCTCTGTCTTGCAGGGCCTGTGGAAAGATGTCAAGTCCTGCAGGGCCCAGAGCGTTCCACCAAGTCGGGGCCAGTACTGAAAAGACCCTGGCCCTAGTTGAGACCAATCTAACCACCTTGCGACTTGGGACCACCAAAATGCTCTGTAATTGGTGAACATATAGCATGGCAGCAAGTGTACTGCTCCTGGCTGAGTGGCAGAACATTTGCATCCCTCCCAGAAGCCCCAGAAAGCCACTATGAATCAGTGTGGACAATGCGGAGCGGGTTCAGTAAAAGGCAGTTTCCTTCCTGTGCCCCTAGGTATACATTTCATTACCGTACTTTCCGCTTTCCCTTTACAATGAAGAGCTGAGGAGAAAACACAAGGACAACATCCCTTAACCGCTTTTTCTTTTCCTTCTTCTTCTTCCTGCTTCCCTTCCTCCACTCAGGTACCTTCAAGTTCCAGAAAATGGACCTGCGTAAGGAGGGATACGATCCCAATGTGGTGAAGGACAAGCTTTATTTCCTGGAGCCCCGGCAGTGCCGCTACCTCCCGTTGAACGAGGACATCTTCAAGAGAATCCAGTCAGGACAAATGAAGCTGTGAAACAGCCCCTGATCTTCTGCCCCTCTGTCTAGGGTAGGGTGGTGGGACTGGTGTTTGCATAGGAAAGGAAAAGCCAGTGATGGTTAGAGATTTAACAAAATGGCGGCGGGAGGGGGGAGGGGGAGGCACAGCGAGTTGTTTTTTTGGTTTCGTTTATGATTTGACCTGTTTTCGTAGAAGACGATGGCCAATGGGGCAGCCTCCCCCAACCTGGTGCCCTCCAGGAGTTTCGGACTATAACTCCCATCGTGAGGGAAGCTTGCCATATGGTTTGCAGGGGGGCAGCTGGGGGCGGGGGGCAGGTTGATGCATACCAAAGCATAGAAGCACTATGGCTTTATTTTCTACTTGGTTGGAACAGTGGCCGTGCTGTTTCCTGTTCCTCTGGGTTGAGCATGCTAGGTCAAGTGTGTCAGTTTCAAAGGCTCTGCCCTCCGGTTCCCCAGGCCCCATCCACCGCTCTACATTTAAAACAATACCACACCATTTTGAACAGCCATGGCTCCCACCCCCCACAAAGAATTATAGGAACTAAAGTTTGTTTAAGGTGCTGAGAGTTGTCAAAAGGCCGCCTGTTCCCTTGCCAGAGCTGAAGTCCCTCTTCACAGAGAACTCCGGGAGTTATAGCTCTGTGAGGGGGTGGGCCTCCTAACAAATTTTGGGACCCTTAGCAAACTACAGCTCCCAGGATTCTTGGGAGCGGAACCCATGACAGTTAAAAGTGGAACGGTACTGTTTTAAATCTATAGTGCGGACGAGGCCCTGATCTCCCTTTGCCCCTTTTCTGTGTTTCCCCATAGGACCCACAAGGGCTGCACTGCTTCATTACGCCTCTGGGTGGTGCCATTGCGCTTCGTTTCTCTGGGGTCCACCTTTGATCCTTCTCTCTTGCCATGGTTGTGATTATAACTTTTTATGAGGAGAGATTGTCTCTCTCGACTGCACTGTCCCTAGTTTGCGGAGTGGGCAGGAAGGGCACAGTGACTCAACTTATTCCAGGGATATGGGTGGTGTGTTTAGTTTGGTTTTACTTTCACAAATGGATGTTTATTTGTATGTGCGGGTTTTCATATTATTATTTTTTTGCAATTTATTGCAAGTTCCATTTTGTTTTTAAAGAAACAGGAAAGGGTTAACGGCAAGCTTACAATTCTGCCCACAGTGCAAGCTGGTTGGCTTTTCATTCTCCCCCCCCCTTTTTTTTTTTTTTTGTACAGTAGTCTGGCCAACAGCATCTCATTCTGTGTCTCATGTATGAACACAGACGTCTTCATTCCGCTTCTCCTATAGGGTCAGAGGCAACAATTCTCCTTTGGTCAGTTCCTTCATCTGATGGCTCAGCAGTTGTGTCTCAGTGTGAATCCCACCTGTTTCTTAAGTTTTGCTAGGTGGCCTTTCCACCGCCTGCATTTTCAGAAAGGGATGTGTGCGTGCGTGCGCTTGCGCTTCAAATTGCTCTTAAGTGATTTTCACGAACAAAGATACAGGGGCATGTTGGTTGCTTGGCTTCCTCAAACCCACCACTGTCAATGGCACAGTGTACTGTCAGGATGGCACTAGGGTGCATGTGCAAATAAGACCCCATGAATGCATCCCTGTTCCAGAGGAGCAGGTGCATGGCACTTGTGGGTTGTTCATTTTATATGCATGGGGACAAGGGGGCCTGGTGCCAGCTGCCCAAGGCAGTCAGGGCCACCACAGGTTCCATTTAATTCCTTGCGTCACCAGGGTGGAGCCTTGCCTGAGATGAAGGCCTGTTTGGGTGTGAGCCAGGTGATGCCATTCATGCTGTGATTCTGTCTCTCTGCTTAGCCATAGAACTGAATGGCAGGACCCTTGCTGGGGAAAAGGAAGCCCGGCCTCATCTCACTAGCGCCTATCGGAAGTGTCAGTCCAAACGATTGATGAGTGCTTCAATTCTTCTGCTATGTGCAATGTTTGCACACGTGCTGTGAGTTACTGCACACCTGTTTGGGAGCCCAGCTGTAGAGCATGTGCTTTTGCATACAGAGACAAAGGTTGCTGCTTCAGTCTCTGGCAGGGCTGGGGAGAATCTCTGCCTGAGACCGTGGAGGAGTTTGCTGGCCACACTGGACTTGGACGGAGCAATGCTTTGACTTCACACAAGACAGCTCCTTATTCTCTTAGTATTTTGCACAAGGGTGTGCATTGGTGCCATCCAGCATAGCTGTCAACTTTCAGATTTGAAAATAAGGGATCAGCAGCCTCACCTGTCCCAGGGACAATCTACGGGATATCTAACAATCCGGAATAGCAGCGGGAAGCAGCGCTGGAATAACCCACAAAAAATGGGAAGGTCGACAGCTATGGCCATCCAGGCAGGACTCTGGGGAAGGGATCTAAGGACCCCCACAGCAGGGCTGGCTTACCATATTTTGAAGTAAGTTCCTCCAGTCTAAAATGACCTAAATGTAGAAGGATGGGAGAATAATCTCAGAGTTTGTAGCAACCCGGGAGTTCTTGGATCTAGTGCTATCCTGCAAGGCATAAGGCGTCTGCTCAGCTTCCTTTCAGCAACCTCCAAGGCAGGGGGTGGGGAGCCTGTGGTCTGTCTGGTGTCTTCCAGCTACGGCTCCCTTCATCCCTCGGCTATGCTGATGGGAGCTGCGTTGCCACAGGACCCCTGACCCCACTCAGAGGAAGTCAGAGGCCCTTTGCTCTCTTGCTGCAGGCTGCTTTTGGGACTTCAGCTAGCCATTTGCCAGTTTTAATGCCAAAGTCCTTGCCCAGAAATATTTTAGGTAGGAAAAACACCTCTGTTGTTTGTGAGTAGGGTAATTGTCTTGGGAGTCGTAAACCAGAAAGGGGAGGGCTGCGACCAAAGGCATGCAGAAGGCATGCAACCCCGGCCATTGCCAGGTAGAGCTGGGAGAGACTCCTGTCCGAAAACCCAGAGGGCCACTGCCAGTCAGTGTCACCAATACTAAGCTAGATGGACCAATTGTCCGACTCTGTATAAGGCAGCTTCTTGTGTTCCCACTGCCATCAGCCCAGGGTGGTATCCAAGTGGGTTCTACTCAGAGTAGTCCGATGGAAATTAATGAACCTGAGTTAGTCATGTCCATGAATTTCAGCAGGACTGCTTTCACTAGCACTGACATATTGTAAGATGCACCCTCTTCCCCAAAATAATGTTTAGCAGGTTGAAGTTGGAACAGTTTGCTTTGAACTGCATGGTTTCTCCACAAGGGCAGAAATCCAGTTTCTCTTGAGACACCAGCACCACTTCCAGCCAGGTGACCTGTTCATTCAGCACTCATTCTGATCTATTTACAGAAAATCTGCACAAAAATGAGAGTGACTTTTCCCGATAGGCTTGGGCTGCACTTCTTTTCAGTGCATTTCCCCTTCAATTTCCTTATTGCAAAAGTTAGGGCAGGGGGTTAGGAGCGGACAGCAGATTTGCTGCGCAAGGGCATGAATGAAATTTTAATTTGCCGCCTGAATTTGCCCGCATGTGTTTGGCTTCCCCCTTAAGAATAGCAACAGCCTAGGAAGCACTGGTGGTTATTGAGGCAGACTAAACCTTGTCTGCTGGTCCTCCAAAATAGGAACAATCAAGCATAGAGGGGCAGTGCTTGAATTACTGGACTAGCGAGCACCTATGTCACAAGAACTTTAGGTGATTCAAAAGCAGTGTAACTGCACCAGCTGAAGATATTTGGGAGCTCCAGTAATGATGTTGCCCTCCTTTGCTTTGTGTTCATGAGAGGTAGACTTCGCTGCAGTTGCTTTGAGGGCTCTTTCGTGCCTCTAGATTCCTCTGTCTCTGTCTGTCTGTGTCTCTCTGTCCCGTGTGTGTGTGTGTGTGTGTGTGTGTGTGTGTACACTCACATGTATTGATTTGGATTGGGAAGCAAATCATAGGCCTGCCTTCTGGATCTCCCCTGGTGTCAGAGCTTGACCTGCGATTTCAGGGTTTTAACCTCCTTTATAGGGTCTTCACATGGGTGAAATAAAAAAATCAAGACGAGGAGGGCAGAAGAGCAAAGAGTAAGGTTACCACAACTTCCATCATAGAGCTTCAGTATGCTGATGACAACGTAGTGTGCGCACATTAAGAGGATGACCTCCAAAGCATCCTAAATGTCTTCGCAGAAGCTTACGAAAAGCTTGGCCTATCACCCAACATTCAAAAAACCAAAGTGCTGCACCAGCAAGTACAAAACAACCCCTCTGCAGCGCCACAAATCCAACTCAATGGTGTAACGCTGGAAAATATCAATCACTTCTCCTACCTGGGCAGTTATCTTCCCACAAGGGCTAACATTAATGCCAAAATCCAACATCGCCTGAGCTCTGCGAGTGTGGCTTTCTCCCGATTGAAGTGCAGAGTGTTTGAGGACCATGACAGTTGCAGGGAAACCAAAATGCTTGTTTACAAAGATATTGTACTACCACCCTTACTGTATGCTTGTGAAACACGGATCACTTATAAACGCCATCTCCAACTCCTCGAAAGATTCCATCAACAGTGTCTCCAAAAATTTTTACACATCACTTGGGAAGACAGGCGAACTAATACCAATGTACTGGAAGAAGCAAAGATCACCAGTGTTGAAGCAATGATTCTTCAACATCAACTTCGTTGGACTGGTCATGTTGTGCGGATGCCTGATTATCGTCTTCCAAAGCAACTACTCTATTCCGAACATAAAAATGGAAAGCGTAATGCTGGTGGTCAACAAAAGAGGTTCAAAGACTCTCTCAAGGCAAATCTAAAAATTGTAGTATAAACACTAAAAATTGGAAAACACTTGCCTGCGAGTGCTCCAGTTGGACAACAGCCTTTACCAAAGTTGTCATGGGCTTTGAAGACACTCGAACTCAGAATGCAAGGGAGAAACGTGCTAAGAGGAAGGCACGCCTGGCAAATCCATACAGTGATCAGCTCCTGCCCAGGAACCAATGTCCCCACTGTAGAAGGATGTGTGGGTCCAGAATTGGCCTCCACAGTCACTTACAGACTCATTGTTAAAACCGTGTTTATGGAAGACAATCTTACTCAGCTACGAATGACTGCCAGAGATGATGATGAAGAGGCAACTACTTCCCGTGCGCCTGAGATCTTTTGCTCTTCACTCTGCTCCTCCCACCCCACCAGTCAGGCACTTGCTCTCCCCTTGCTCCCCAAGCTGCACCCCTTCATAGTTTAAGACTCAGGACACCTGATGGCTCTGCCCCATCCCCACTACTGACCACAGACACCTGAGTGCAGTTAGGTGGTGGTCCAAAATAAAGAGCACCTACATACTGAGTCCTGTGGCTCTAGGAGGTTTTTCTTTGGGGGGGGGGTTGCACAGTATGGGCAAGATTCCCACAATGGGCATTTCACCTTCCCAGGGACCTACTGCTTACTCACTTTCCCACTTTGGGCCTAATCCATGTAACTGCTGCAAAGAGGGCAAGCTAAGAGGCAGTTCACTTCACTTTGAGAATCAGCTCCCACCACTTTGAGTTGGGATATTTGGGGGCTTCTTTTAAAACCGCTGTGCATGATTCGTTGGGCGAACTTCATGCACATGTTGCTTTCCCCCTCCCCTTCTCCCCAATGTGCTGTGTTTTTAATGTGCTCAATCAGGTGGACTATTGAAGGCAGCAAAGAACAAGCTTTTCCTAGCCAACCTTGTGTCTTAACTGTAGCCCCGAATACCAGATGATGCAGCCTGAGAGGTCTGCTTGCATTCCTCTTTATTGCAGCCTCCCCCGACCTGGTGTCCTCTGGACATTTTGGAATCCAGTTCCTATCAGCCCCGGCCAGCATGACCCAATGGCCAACGGTGATGGAAGTGGTAGAGTGTTGGGTGGGGGAAAGGCTGTTGTAGCGCATATGACTCTGGTGCAGGGAGGAAGACCCAAGAGTTCTGTGCTGGTGACATTGAAATCCAGGCTGCGTTCCTGAAGACAGAGTTAGTTACGGGCATGTCTTGCATGAATGGGTCATACACATTTTTAAAGTAGGCATGGAGAACATTTGCGGTTCTCCAGACGTTGGTCTTCCCAACTCCCACCTGCCACAACCAACATGGCCAATACTTAGGGGTGATAGCAGTTGTGTCTGGCAGGCTCCTG